GAAACAAAACAGCAAACATTAAGCTGTCTACAAAATATACAACATTGATATTGTTTAATTTCTCTTTAATTAAATATCTTTCTGTAATGGTATTTCTAAATTGACCTCTTTTCTACTTTCCTTGTACGAAGTAAAGGAAGTATTGTAATCGAGAAAAATTTCGGATATCATATTTCAGCGAAAATATCCATTTTGACCCTCTCTCGATTCCATTTGAACAATGTTCTTGCGTCACATCTGTACGTACAGACATAATAAAGGACTCTTTTTCCCAAAACGGATTGAAAAAATGGATTTAAAAGGGTTTCAAAAGAGTTTTTTTCCTGATGTCTACGTACGTATGTATCTCGCATAACTCAAAACCGAGTAGCCGCAGAATGTTGAAATTTTGTATAGCGGACTGCTATAACATATAGTTGTGCATCTCTCTTTTTGGTTTCAATAAGCCGTATCGAAGGTGTCTCTCTGTGTATATACCCACTCTTACCAACGTCGGTGAGCTCAAATTTTTTATTCTTATATACTGGTAAATTGTGCATTTTTGGCTTACATGTTTCGATTAATGTTTTTATGTCTTTGCTTAATCTGCATAAAGTTGTTGTAAAATTATCAACAGTTTAAAAGTTGTTTAAATGCCACTAATCCTAACGAAACCGCCATTTGTTTACGTTTAAATAAGTGGAATCGTGAATTAAGTCAGTTTTTGCACCTTCAGTGTCTTTTGCCCGATGGGACAAAAAATAAACTTTCAGTTATGCGCCGAAAGATCTACCTTCTTGTTCGCTGGCGGAATTTCTTATATTTGAGTAGAAAAACAAATTTTAATTGTAACTCTTTTACATTTTTTAACTTTATTTTGTGTTTTATGTATTTCTGTTTTTTACAATTTTTAATAAAGACGTTTCGAGTTTTATGTATTTTCGCCTTACCGCGAAGTGGAAACTGAATTAATTGAATGAGAAATATATCTCTAATGAATTTCGAGGAAATAAGTTTAAATGAAATGCAGAAAATGTGTATAATTTAATAGGCCGTGCAAGGAACATCAGATTTTTTCTAATGATATTTATTCTTTCATTATTTACAGATTTTTTTTAGAACCGAATTATTTTATGACATCAAATACATTTATTCTCCAGATTAAATTGCTTCTATATACAAATAATTTTTAGTGTTAAAAATATAGGTAAATAATAACACATTTCTATTAGATATAATTTGGGTTACTTCTCTTTTTATTTAACTGCTTCCAGATGAACACTGATTCTATGTTAACCGTGGGCATTGTAAACACATAGTTAAATCCTGATTAAGCATGCATTATTAAGGATTTGACCGTACACGTGTGTGTACTATGTGTGTGTACTGTAAATGATGCTTCGAGTTACTATTGAAATTTGAGTAAAAATGCAAAAATTTTCTTTCCGTGCATTAAAAATATAATAAATTAATTTTCTGCATCTTTTATTTTCACCCTTTGTAATGTTTTTGCTACGTCTTTTACATTTTAGACGGAAAATATTAGAAACCTAACCAGTTAAGGAATATTCTTAAAGAAAATGAATAATATTTTAAATTTTGCCATTTTATATGTTAAAGAGTACATTTGACAAGTGAATCATAAACGAATTTTTATCATACATGCTTAAGTCGCAAAATCCAAGTTTTTATTATCTTTTTATTCATCTACGAGGATTTAAACGAGAAGGAAATGTCGGGGTTAGAAGATAGTCTTCTAATCTGTAAATCTCGTCGCAGTCGAGTGCATCTGTTGTTAATGGCTTAGAAAGTTATTTCGGACTACTGATATGAGCCTAATTGCTGACAACTAATCTAAGTTTTTTTTTATTTTTTAATTTAGGGATTTTTTTTAAACTTATTTATATCAGATGTCAAAATCCGCTTAAGTTATTATCGCGAATTAAATTTTCACATCGTGTCTCAAAATCCTCCATGCTTTTCTCTTTAGAATTAAAAAGTATAGACATAATTAATAAGATTAAAAGTATTGTCGGCGCGTCATGGGGGCACACTAAACATACAGCGAACCGAGAGGCTTCTCGTGAGGTTGGTGGTAGGGAACGAAGGGGGGAAACCCTCGGATCAGACACCCTGGTGTGCTCTACATCAAAATTGGGGATGAAACTGGGCAAAGTCGCACTGTCACCCGTAAGGTGCTCCAGGTTGTTGCCAACGGCAGGCGTAATCTTGAGTTCCTTGCCACAAGGAATTTCGTGGGATTGGGCTGACTATAGATCAGACAAGTGAGCATCAGTGAACAACAACGTTATTTCTGAATTCGCGGTCTGCCAGTCAGCTTTTTCATTCACTCGTACTAAACTTTTTTTTAGCTTTATTATTAAGCATAACTTCTTTCGCACTTATGCCATAACAATTACACAACAAAATTACAAGAATTTTAAAATCAGCAGAGCAGTATATGTTTAAAATCACTAATGCGGGGATAAGTGTTGGCATACATTTTCCTGATCTTTTCACAGTTCATCACAACAATATTCAGTTTTCTTACAAAACCTTTGTCTTTTATTATTAACGTTTTGTGTGTTTATTTATTAAATATCATGCTCCCTTGTTATCGCTTACGCCACATAAAATTCGATTCAACAGCAAAATCGCAAAACATTTTAAAACGGCATATCTTTAGAATTTTTGATCGACAGTCTCGCCCGTTGAATATAAAAATGCTTTATTCCGTATAATGTTCCCACTGCTGGCTTTGAAATCGTTGAGTTTGCTAATCAAAGAATTTGTTAAAGATTTAACAGTACGAGAAACACGTACATACATTCATGCAGATTCTTCATAATTTCTTTAAATATAAAATAGGGCGATAATATTTGGTGGCAACAATCTGAGAAGTGATACAACGCATTTAAGTGTTTCGACACTACTATCCTATTCGGGAATAAAATCCCTTTTGGACTAAAAATATATGCCAACACTCAAAATTTCGTCAGAAATTCTGAGCATATAGTGCTTTTAAAAAAATTTTGTAATGTCGCTGCTGAAATGTATATGACGTAACTGCGAAGAAAATTATGCTTAATAATAAAGCTAAGAAGACAGAAAGAAATGTGTTAACAGACTCGTAGACCGAAAGCTCAGCGAGAGCGTAGAAAAAAACTTAAACCCTTTTGGGCGACCGTTAAAAATCTGAGCAGTTTCAGGTTTTTTTTTTTTTTTTTTTTTTTTTTTTTTTTTTTTTTTTTTTTCCCAAATTGAAATTTTATTTTTTTGTTTTATTACATTAGAGTCTTAACCTATAAGCAAAAAAAAAATCATTAAAGTAGAAAGGTTTTAAAATTTAATTTATGCAAATAAACTTACGAAATTGTAAGTACTTACGAAACTTACGAAATAAACTTACGAATATTGAAACCTGCCACAATTCCGTACGCCATTTCCAAAATGCTTGAGAAATCGGTTAATAAATAAATGACAATAACTAAGTTGATTTTTTCCCTTAAATGTCATTCAGAGTCTTTTTTTATGATTTACTAGTGAATAATGTTTTTCAATTTAAAATTTGGTTACAACAAGTATGCCGAGAGGATTTTCACACAAATAACTTCTTAATTTATTGATAGAAACGTTAGAAATACGTTATTTATATTCTCCTTATTTAGGTTTCGTTTATTGTTTATTTTATTATTTGTTTTATTACATTAGAATCCTAACCTAAGAAATGAACAAAAAATTCATTTAAACTATAAAGGTTTATTATTTTATGCAAATAAGCATACGAGTTGGCAGTGTACAATTCGTAAGCTGCCAGTTTTCTAGAACAAGAATTCTGCAAGATTCCATGAACAAGGTCTCATGTTTGAAAAACAAATTCATATTGATCAATAATTTTCACGATAATGTGCATAGAAATGTTTGTGTTTTTAATCTGTTAACATAGAAATCGTTCCCTAGGGTGATTTTATTTAAGTATAAATACAAATACTTCGCTGTTCAATTTGTGTGCGGTCTCTTCATAATATCTAATATTAGAACTAAATATCTATGAATTTTTGCTGCACAGGATTCACACCTCCTATATGCTTTTCACAAGGAAAACATTTTCCTAAATAAGAGTGTAAAGATCGAGGAAATGTATAAAAAGTTACGTTTAGTAAATTCTACAAAATCGACTTTTTATTATTTAAAAATGCCAAACCATGAATATAATATATGTGTCATTTAAAATATTTTTGTGACTGGAAGTATATGCATACAACTAATGGTTTCGGTGATAAAGGTCGGCTAAAGACTTGTGCATGTGTACACACCATATGCACAGTGCGCAATATTTCTGAAAAGAATGCATTGATGTTATGTTTATATTTTTTAAAGTCATATTCAGTCAAATCCACTCATAAGCTGCTTTTAATATAATGCATTAATTTATAAGTAGATAATAATTCAGTTTCCTTCTACCTCAAAAACAAACATTTTACAAAATTTATTTTAAGTAAACATTTTTCTTAACATCCTAAGCTAATTTTTCCCTCCTACTTTCTAAAAAGTTAAATCCGGAGTTTATCTGAGCCCACCGGTGAGCAAACAAGTAATATTGCTGAAAACAGGTAATTCGTGTTCAGATCCGGGCGTATGGTCTTGCCGCATAGGAATTTTGGGATTTTCCCTTTATGTAAGGTGAGCATGAGCCAGTTTCCCTTAGAAAGTTCTTCACGAGGGCATTCCTTTCGTTAGGCTTTACATGAATCAATTAACCTAACCTAAAGCATTTATCCAAAATTTTTAGTATGCGATTACATTTAAGGAAACTATGGTTGAATTTTAAAAGGAAGACATTAATGCTTTTGCAGAAATAACATTTGTTGTATTCTTGCTATATACGTTTTATTCAAATTTAAAAGCATGCTTATATAGTTCGAAGTGCATGTAAAAATATCCCTTCCCATAGCCAGCCGATAAAATTAAATTTGGTGAATCTTATGCGTTTTAAGTTAGAACGAAAATTTGATTTTTTTTATACTGATTTTATTGTTGCAACAGTTTTTACTGACAAATGTGTTGTGTATTGCAGCAACAAAGATTTTTAGCATTTTGAAAAAGTATATGTAATTCCACAATATGCACGTTTTACGCAAGATTAAATCACTAATATGATAAACAAAAAATAATAAATAAAAAATATTTTGATAAGTTTTCTTTTTGAGCATGTTCAGTATCGATTCCAGGATAATGCGAGACAATTAGCAAAATTCACTGCGAAACGTTGCTCCTTGTTGGTCTCGCTGATTGAGTAACATCGGACTGACACACAATTCTGTCACTGAATAGAGAGCTTGCCTGAAAGAAATTATTTACAATATTATAACAATTTGTACTAACATACTTGCTTGGAGCAGATAAACATTAATAAATCTACGGATTTAGATGTTCAGTGGAAAATGAAATAGCATTTTTATATTTATTCCATTTCATCATTAACAAATTCTGTCTTTCAGAATATATATACAAGATCAGAATTTTTCAATAAACAGCGTAATTTATGTCGAATAAGATATTTCCAGTTACAAAACAATTTAAATCCAGTTACATGTAAATATTAAATTGAACTAAAGAGAAAATTTGAGTTTAAGACAATAAAAACAATTAGTGCATTAAGTAAATTTCATTTGTCAAGGTGCACCACAAAAAAAATTGTAAAACTCATGAAATTGCTAAAAATTACTGCATTCTGAAAAAATAATAATGCTTCATTTTTTTAATATTTTCTTTAAAAATGAAAGGCTGAATTAACAAATTTTAACAATTAAAAACGATAAAATTGATTTTTCAATAAACTATTTTTTCTGCCTTGTACGAATCAAAGGAAATATTGTAATCGCAAAAAGTTTCGGGTCTCATATTTAAAAAAAATATCCATTTCACCCGCTCTCGAAACCATTTGAACTATCCTTTTGCGTGACATATGTATGTACGTAGTTGTAGAATTATCAATAGTTGATTAATAATTTAAAAGTGGAGAGTTAAGGCTAACGAACCGCTATTTGTTTACATTTGAAACTCAGAAGAATAGTGAATTAAGTCAGCTTCTGCACCTTCAATGTCTTTTTTCCCAGCGTGGAGAAAAAAATTCAGTTTTGTGCATCAAAGCTGCTGCCTTCTTGGCCGCTTTCCGAATTCTTTGCTTTTGCGTTTTTCTAATTTTAACTGTAAAAATGTTTTTTTAACTCTTAACTGCATTATGTTTTCTTCATTAACTGTATTTACGTATGTTTTAGCTAGATGTTTTTCTGTTTTTAACAATTTTGAATGAATATGTTTTGAGTTTTTATATATTTTGATTTACCGAGAAATGAGAACTGAATTAATTGAATGAATGATAAACATATCTCTAACGAGAATGATAAACATATCTCTAACGAAATTCGAGGAAATAAGTTTAAAGGAAATGCTACAAAAAATTATAACTTAATAGGCCATGTGGTATCCACATCAGATATTTAAATTTGCAAATGCCATCATTTCAACAAAGGTGTTCACTATATAGTTTTAACAGCTAACAAAATAGAATTCGAGAATTATTTTTACTTTCGAAAGGCTCGCTAAAGGTTCCCTTAATCGAAAGTTTAGCTCCCTTCGCTAAAGTTTTTAGTTCCCTTCGCTAAAGGTTCCCTTTTACCAATTAGTAAATACGTATACTTCCTATTCGAAACGCAATGGTGTGTTAAAAAATAATAATTGCAGTTTTTTTAATAATCTGTTAAATTAAAGTCATTCATTTAATCATCTCTAATTACAGTACCTACAAATCACCTCTTTGTCAAACCTCAAAATGGGATCCTTGTGTGGAATAACAAAACTGAGACTTCAGATGTAAAAAAAAAAAAAAAAAAAAAAAAAAGAATTTTTTTTTTTTTTTTTTTTTTTTTCAGTCTTGCATTTTTCTTTAATCAATCTTTAACTGAAAACAGCTATTCTGAATAATGAGTCTCATGTCGAAGGTAGATCGAACCAAGTAACTAACGCTTGATTGAAGGGGAAAGAGAAATGATTGACAAAATGAGAAATAGGACATGTTGAGAATCATGACGTTGAAATAGCATCAAAGCGGAAAACATTTTTATAATCATTTAAGTTTAGCCTAATTAGGAAAAGTGTATATTTAGAGACCCGATTTCATTTTTAGACTTAAAATAGGCAAATAATGACGAAACGTATTCCTGGTAGTTTATACTTTATCACTAAATGATTTTCAAGAAGTACCTTCAAATATATACTCAGTTTTAATGTTTGATGAAGTATAATTTAAATTAGCTTTTATTTCACATGTTAAATCATGAACACATTCCTACCACCGGTATGAATAAATAATTGATTCTATTTAAGGTAGATCCGTGCAACAGAAATGTCAGTAGTTACATATAATAAAAGTCAAAATTTAATACTTTTATTAAGTTTATAATTTTCGTAAATGTTTTAAATATATGCTCCATAATATTTCTTACTTTTCGAATTTATATATGAAAATTGTAAAAAGGATCATGTATAAAAATTTTATTCATGAAATGTTTTATTATGCCAGTCACTTATCAGCCAAATTCATGATTACTTTTGTCATTATAAATCTATAATACAACGTAATTCAGTTTTTATTCCTTACAGTTATACAAACAGAAAAATTCCTTCTGAATTTATATTGAAATTATTTTACACGTTTTACTTAAAATAGCAATTATTTCACCTTAGCAAACAAACATTTTTGCGTTCATAATTTCATTTTTCGTTAAAAAATTAATAAGCTATGAAAACCTGATAAATTTAACATTCAATCAATAATAAAAAATCGGATGTGCACACCATACAACTTCCTTGTACGGCCTATTAAACTATGCACCTTTTTTTTCTGCATTTCATTTAAATTTATTTCCCCGAATTTCATTACAGATATATTTCTCATTCATTCAATTCAGTTTTCTCTTCTCGCCAAGGAAAAAATAGGGAAAACTCAAAATATCCTCATTAAAAATTCTGTAATACTGAAAAACCTAAAAACACCAAATAGAGTTTAAAAAACATTAAAAACAATATTTACAGTTAAAATTAGAGTTTAATTAAAACTAGGCAAAAAGACAGATTTTTTCGGTGCACAAACATTTTGGCTCCACCCCGCAAAACGGTACTGAAGCTGGGCCAGAAACTGACTTAAACAGAAACTATGCTACTAAGTTTCAAAAGTAAACAAATCACGGCGTCGTTAGGCTTAAATGGAACAATTTAAAACTGCTTATAATTCTACAAATATTGCATGCATATTAACTAAGGGCACTTAACCGAAACACAAGAACAATTCAATCTTTTTGAAGCAAAAAATGCAAAACATTTACCAAATACAAGAATAAAAAACTTAGCTCACCAAGCTGAGTTGCAGAGTGGCTATATATATATATATATATAGTATATCTTAAATTCATTTAGTGCGAAACAATAATTGTTCCTCCTAAAACTGAGAAGGCGGTATAAGTTGGATGACGGTATCATATGGATTGTTGAAGGATTTGTATATAGTGTAATTACAAAATTGTATATATTGTAAAAAATTAATTGTCTTTCAGACTTATGCTGTTACTATGCTGTACTACTAAAAAAAATGGGCCTATTTCATACTCTTTGGTCTGTCTAATAGCTCTTGGACAGTGAAAATTACTTTTTTCCTTTCTTTAAATTCTTAATCATTGCGACACGACAATTAGCCAGAAATTAATTAATTTCCATTCACTAGTATTTTCAAAAAAATCTTAACAGACAGTTTCACCTCAAATAAGAACTCCACATAATACATCCTCAAGAATTCCGAGTCCCAACCCACTACCATAAATTACTTCACCCAAGTCTTACCGACTGATCTTATTCAAAGCCCCCACTGCCGCTAAGAATTTTCGGACACCCTACACTTATGAGTCAGACACGAAGAGAACACTTTGCCGACTCCCCACTAGAAAGAATGTAAGTTACCTAATACCTTTTCTGGCCTTTATATCTTCATGTACATTCACTGTTCTTATTATATTCTTTATATTATTTTTGATTTGTTTTTACAAAGTTTGCACTATTTATCTTATTTTGTAATCTTCTATGTTTATTTCAACTTTACTTTGAATTCGATTTCATAATGAACAATTTCCAATGTTTAATTTTTACAAATAATATACAACTCAAATGCATAAACATGAGGGTGTCGGGGACGGTTACTCGAGTTTTTCGGATTTCTCTACAGAAATTTGCTTTCTTACTCCAAATTGAATCGGACTAAAATGCTTCATAAGAATAAGTTCTTTGAGTATCAGCATTGGTTCGTAATCCCTTCTATTCGCGGAAATATTTGGCTTGACTAGAATTGCCGGTTTGGCTTTACCTTATAACTCGAGTAAAGACGAAACACCTTCGTATTTACGTATTTTTATTAATTATTGTTCATTAAACGGGAGTTGGTTTGTTCCCCTTGAAAAGTCAACTAATTTCCGATCAATGACAATGATTACATATTTTTAATTTAATTTTTCCTTTTACAATTGAAATTTTGTTCTTCATGATGATTTAATTCCAGTCCCCGTTAAAAAACAAAAACATTATTAACATTCTACTTTCAAGTTACTTCAAAACGTCTTCCAAAATATAACTTACCAGTATGGATTCACTCTTTTAAAATAATTCTACTTTAATTAATCTTAGGAGATAATATAATCAATCAATATTGTTTAGAAAATAAATTATATATAAGCATATATACTTTTGCCGATCGCAACCAAAAAGGGAGGTGCGATCTTTTTTGGGGGATTCGGAGACCAAACGACAGTCAATGGCATGGTGTTCTTCGTCTTCCCCGCCTCCCCAGAAACTTCGGTTGACAAAATCTAAGATTAAGATGATGTTGATCGCCTTCTGTGACAGAAAAGGCTTAATCCATCGCGAATTTCTACTGGAAGGTCAGCTTTCAACACGGAGGTTTACGAGTGAGTTTTGAAATAGATGTTGCAATGTATCTAGTTTGGCCTTCTTCGACAGCAAAGTCAACAAGGGCCTTCTTCTGACAGCAAAATGATGTTGATCGCCTTCTTCGACAGCATGGGCTTAATCCATCGCGAATTTCTACATTGGAAGGCAGCAAGGGCCTTCTTCGACAGCAAGATGATGGTGATCGCCTTTTCGACAGTATTGGCTTAATCCATGGCGAATTTCTACTGGAAGGTCAGCTGTCAACGCGGAAGCTTACGAATGACTTTTGAAATGTATGTTTCAATGTATGTAGTTTGGCCAGAACTGTACTGGAGTGTACAGTGGAATTTCTTGCACGACAACGTCTGTCTGCATACTACGATCCGTGTTCTCAACTTTCTCACACAACGCAAAGTGAGTCTCCTTTAACATTCTCCTTATTCTCCAGATTTGGCGCTGGCAGATTTCTTTGTTTCCTCGCCTTGTATTTCTGAAAGGCTTTACTCTTCGCAGACATGCGGATATCCGAATGTCTGCGAAGAGTGGAATCGCTTGAAGCACGACCACTGTGCTTCAAGCGATTCCACAAGATGTGTTTCCTTTCAGTTTCCAACAGCTTTACGACCAATGTCAGGAGTGAGTTGTATCGAATGGTAATGACTTTGAAGACTAGTAAAAGTATTTTGTTTGTACTCTTCTTTCCTTTGTTTTCTGAGACCATTCATTCATCGAACTTTTCAGATGCACCTTGTAGAAAGAAAATTATACGTTTACATATTATGATTTGAGTCCATCCTAATTGCAGCTTACAATTTCTTATCAGAATGTGCTTTTAGAATCGCGTTTAATTTCGATTCGAAGTTCCACTGACTTGGAGAGAGAGCTTTTGGCTACCTCTCTACAAGCTGTTACTACGTTCGGCAGTGTTACAGGCCCTTGATAACTTAACAATAATCCTGATTTTTCAAAATAAAACTGTGACTGAAAAATGTACTGGTGCTCAACTTATGATCCTGAGACAAAACACCAATCGTCGGTTTAGAATGAAGAATGTTCAAAACGACCATAGGAATCTCACATTTGAAAATTTCCAGTAAAGAGTATGAATGTGACCTTTCTTGGTTGGAAAGGGTTAATTCACAAGAAAATCTTTCCCAAAAACAAATGATGAGCTATTTCATAAAGACCTTTAAAGAGAATTCAGCATGTCTTTCCTTAAAACATTCAATCGAATAACCGGTTTTAGCTGCACGATGATTCGCTGTCACACAACTTTTTTCTCACCAAGCAGTTTCAAACAAAGAAATATGTCATAATTCTTAAGTATCATCCTTTTTCACCATATTTGACACCTACAGACTACATTGTCCTCCCTAAACGGAAGTCACGCTTTAAAATGTCATTATTTTAATATTAAAAATTATACAAAAGACGAATTGAACGAAGACATTAGCAGCTGTCTGAAGACAACAAAAGTTGCATAAAATTTTCAAAGAATGTACACTAAGAATTAAGAAGAACGTTATTTTCTTCAGCTTTCGATTTGATATGAACTTGGTCCTAAAATTTTATATATGCGCTACGTATGTTCAAAAGAAGAAAGATCATAGATTTAAAATTAAAGTATTCATGGGGAAGATTTGACTTACCACGAACTGGGATCCTTCAAGGGGGAAATAAGAATGGCGTAGATGTAAGGCAATGGAGCCTCTCGCTGAATGACATGAGAAATCATATTCATGACCCCTCTGACCCTGGATAATGGCTTCTTTTCCCAACGTATAATGGCTCCGATAATGTCACCCAGAAAGGAGTGACTAAAAACTACGTAAGTATCTTGCCAACCTGTTTTTCTAATACAAAAATTTATTAAAGGAATCGTCTGTAAATACGAGTATTTCTGTAATATTGTAATTAATCTATAAATATTGTAATTAATCTGCAAATATTACTTGCGTCAATTATAAACAAAGTTGCTTAAATTATTGGCAAAAAAATTCAGTCTTCAAGAATTTTCCAGATTTCACAGATAAAATAAAATTTTGATATGTACATTTTATACCCACACATACAAAATTTTTTAAAGTATTTATAAATAAGAAACAAAAAATATATGTGTGTGTATGTGCACGCGTGTGGGAATTACATGTATACCTATGTATTATGTATGTATATGTACGCGTGTGTATAAATTACATATACAAAGAGACATGTATATAAAAGGCGTCCCGTAAACGTTGCGACAATCTTCTGGGGAGGGTAAGGAATTTCATAGGAACTTATGCTCAGAAACGTCATTGTAGGCTGCCAGGAGGTGATGTACAGGAGAATGCTAATGGAAAGTGACTATTACCTCATTCGAACGGTGGGTACCATAAGAAGAGCATGGAACGTAGTACGAACCGGGAGTTTGCAGACATGCACTTAGTATATGGAATATCTGAGGGTAATGGACGAACCGCTGCACACATTTATCGAGAACATTCCTCCGACAGACATCAACCATACCGTATTTTGTTTGTACGTCTGCATCGAAATTTGTGCGACTACGGGTCATTAAGAAATGGACTCATTTTGGACTGGATGTTCGTATCCATTTGAACAGATTATTCCCGCCTCGATGGATTGGGAGTGGTGCACCAGTTCCCTGTCTCCCCCCCGCTCACCGAATTTATCGAGTCTTGATTTCTTTTTGTGGGTAGCCATCAAAAATGCCGTATATCACGATCCTGTTGTGTCTGAAATGGATCTCTTGGCAAGACTCGCCTGCGCAGCTGCTAAATTCAAAGAAACACCCGGTGTACTTGAATATGTCCGGTAATAAATGGTCCGTCGGTGTCAGGCATGTTTGGCAGCTGATGGCACAAACTTCGAGCATCTGTTTTAACATTCAATCTGTCGTACATTACTAGTATTCATGTCCAATAAATGTTTCAAATTAATCACTCTTGTTTCTTTTGCCATCTTCTACCTCTGCCACCACTTACCCCTGACATTTCCGGCCATGGGTTCCTAGGCAATTCTTAATCCTTATGATGTGCCCTACCTTCCCCAAAAGTTTGTCGCAACATTTACGGGACACCCTGTATATTTACATGGTGTGTAATAGGATTGATAGTCTTAACTTTAAGGGATGATAGAAAATTTCCAAAGCAACATTTTTTTTTTTTTTTTTTTTTTTTTTTTTGTAATAACATGTGGGGCAAAACATAAAATGCGAATGCGAAAACAATGTATGAGAGAAATATGGGGAATGTAGTCATTTTAATCATGGAGATTCGAAAGGAAAGTGTCCGATATTTACACGAACAGTTCTGATGAAATCGTGGAACAATACGATCATCTGAAAAATTCAAAGTAAGAAATTTCTTTAAACATTTCGAAATTGGCCTGCAGATGATAAGTAGATTAACAACTAGATACTACTAGTTCGACTTGAGTTCTAATCCCAGAAAATGGATCAACTGCACAGCCCGTTTTATAGGATTTGAACCCGAGTTGCGATGATTTATCCCATGTATAATATGAATATGAGGCCGTTTTTCTTAGAAAGTCTTCCAGCAAAGCATCCCTCTCGAAACATTTAGTGGTCGTGTGCTTTGCTCTGGTTGACTAAACAAACATTTCGAAACTATCATCTGCTTAGCCATAAATTTGGCATAAATCCTTTTACGAGAAAAACCATAGATATTTACAGAGGGACTCCACACCGCGAAGATAAGATACACAACTTCTTACAGATGGACTGAAATATTCTATTAAGAAACATTATCCATAACATAAGCTAAAGACGCAACGTAAACTAAAGACAGCGTAATCTTTATTTGCATTCCATGCCAAGAACTATAACCTGATCACACCAACTCCTTTTTGTATCAAATTAAGCGATTTTTTACTTTTTCTTTTCGGAGTTAGACGAAAGAAATAGAATTGAACAACAATTTAAATATTTTCAAAACCTGGGTTTTCTTCGTAGTGGATTTTGGAATTTTTCGGCCATTTGGAAATGTGTTGGGTAAAAAACACTAATAATTTATGAATCATACAGCTATATAATCTAACAGCTTGCACATGAGTTTTAAAATTTTTAGAATGCAATAGTCACAAAAAATTGACAGTTCTTAAGTGGAAATGCAGAATCTCGGATATTTTTAATTTTCCAAACTGCGGACTGGCAGCTGTTTGGTTCAAACACTAATATATGCTTTTTATATACGAATAGTTGAAGAGGAAGCAATTTGTAAGGATTAATACAACATAATTGTCATAATCCCACTGATATCCAGAATTAGTCACAAAGCTTACATAAATTGTGCTGCTCCAATAAGTCGCTTCCACATAAGCACACCTACGTAATTCAAGCATTAGCTGCATAAATCGAAACTAAATGTACATTCACACTTATTTAAAATCAACCACGCGTATATATATATATATATATATATATATATATAGGGTACCACTTTACTGGAATTACTTCTGGTTTTGACTTTTACCCTTGCCTGCATGAATGACGAAACACGAATTGAATGATTGGAGAGTTAGGTTTGGAGGCAACTTCCCCTTAATAAGTCTGTCTCCTGCCTACTCTACGATCATTCACATATGCATTTTTTTAAAAAATTGTTTTTAATTTAATTTTAATTTAAATGAGTAGATTTATTTCATGGATAGATTTTTACACTTGATTTGCTTATGCTTTTCTGAATTTAAATGATATTGTAGATTAGTTCGAGAATTAAATCTTTTACATGTTTGCATATTTTTAAATTTTAATTATTTTGGCTTTTTTCCTTTTTTTTTTAGATTTAAATTTACTTTTCTACTTTTTTACTTTTATACGTGTTTGTTTAGAATTTAAATTTGTTTAAATTTGTTTAAATTTATATATATATATACTCTTAAGCTTAACAAAACAGGAAATTACGAAATTTGTCATTTTGAATGATGAAGGCAGCTTGCCGTTTATAAATTTTGTCTTTAACTAAACGAAATAGTTTAATATAAGAAATATAAATGATACAAAAACGTCTCCTGCAACAATTGTTTTTCTGTTTTAAAATGAAGTTCTGATTATCCAGTTACGCTTTAAGCTATCAATCAGGATTTAAACTATTTACTAAAATGAAAGTCGACAATTACAAATGAATATCAAACTGAAGTGAAATTAACAGACCGAGGGTTTTTCCTGCTTTTGTCAAAAGTATAACAAATGACTGACAATAAGTTTGATTTATGCGATTGCGGCAAAGCCTCGATGGCTATCTCTGCCTAAGGGAAGGGATACCTTCGTTGAGAACTTTACAAGGGAAACTGGCTCGTATACAGATTATACATGGGGAAAACCAAGAAAACGCCTATGCAGCCAGCCCGTTCCCTGGATTCGATCCTCGCACCGAACTACCAGTGTTCAGCAAATTCAAATTCACCACTCAACTGCTGGTGAGCTGGCTGAAAATAGGAAATTTACTTGTAAAGTATAAGCAACTTGAATGCTTTAAATGAGGAAAGAGAACCAGCATTAACAATATGAGTGCAGAAGGGAGCGAATTGGTAAAATCATTGTCATAATAATTTTAAAATTTTAAAACTAATTTTTCTGAGAATGCTAACGTTATCAAATGCTACAGAAAATTTCTTAGCAGTTTTAAAAGCCGTTTCCAATTTGGGTCAGTTTGTAAATCGCGCTCATTCAAGTTTAGATTCTTTGTGTATAGATAGATTATTTATAAGCGAATTTTCTCTATGTTAATGTGTCAAAAATAACAGTTATTTCATTTTAAAGTAGACCTAAAACACTATAGTTGTAATATATTAAATATCTAGTGGACATTAATGTATTACTATATTATTAAACATACAAATTTTAAATACATTATATGAAAATATCAAAGTATGTTTCTTTTTGAGAACGAAAATTGATATTGAGAAATGATAAGAATTGAGAAATGATAAAATTTTCAAACCAAACAGTGTACACATTCAACATGAAGCAAAAATTTAATTACAAAATCTTCTGTTATCGGTACTTTTAATCTTCTGTTATCGGTACCGGGTTCAGGAATGTATGTATGCATGTATATGTTGATTTATGCGTTTATGTATGCGTGTATATATGCACGTATGTATGTACATGTATACACACACACATATATACACAGACACGTGCATACGTACTTACATTTCTGAATCCGATCCTGATAACAGAAGAGTACCATATTTTGCTTGAATATTAAGTAACTCTACTTAAAAATTGAAGTTAAAATTTAAAAAATTTCATTTATCATTTGTAGACTACTTTCCATAAATTAGAGAAAATGTTTGGTTAATCGTAAAACTGTACTACTGGGGAAAACGGGGGTTTCTTTCCAAGCAAATCTTGGTGTGAAATATCCATTTTTCTAGTTTAATTCATTTGCAATTTCTAAATAATGGCTGTAATGTCCAAAGTTTCGTCTATAAAATCAAACTAGATAGACGAAATATAAATATCGTTAAGGAGGGCTATTTGCCAGAGAATGAAGGCCTTTGTGAAGTACTTTTTAAGAGAAACTCGCTCAATCGCCTCGTATTATACACGGAGGAAATCCTGAAAATCCTAAACTCAAATCTCGGTAATAAAAATCAATATAATTTTCCTAAAACAGATTTTAAAAAACATTAAAATGTAAAATTGTAATAACTCTCGTACTATAATTTAAGTGCTATATGGTTTTTTGCAATCAGCATATTATTTACAAAATAAATCTACTTACTTTCCCTCTATTTTAAATTCGGCAGACCCGCTGACTCCGTAAACAGAAATTCGAAGTATGTCAGAATCTGACCACTCCCCACGTTTCCAAATAGCGGGGACTGACCGACGACCAGCTTTGCCAGTTTCTGTTATTCTTTTTAAGACTATTTTATAGCTGTAACCTGAGAAAAACAAAAATACTTATTTTAAGTAGTTTCATGAATGATTTATGCTAGTGTACTTTGTACTCTAAATGACAAATAGTTTCTAATGATTTTCATCAACAAGTTGCCCACCTTTGAAGCATTGTTTACTGACATATAATTTTGCCAATCAAGATGACTAATTTCACACATTGTTTCTATTTTCAGTGTTAGAAGAGAAATGAACGATGATACGGTACTTTCTAATTATCCTTCCCCCTCCCTGTTTCAACCTTTGGTAAAACTGTCATGTTTTGGGCGCATTTTCGAGCATACAACAATTTGCTGTAGTCAATACACAAATGAGGCTCACCAGCGGCCGAGCAGTAAAAGCAGCTGAACATTGGTAGTCTGCGCTTCGAGTCCCGAAGAACTAGCTGGCTGCATGGGCGTTTTCGTGTTTTTCCCCATGTGTAAAGTGTATATGAGCCAGTTTCCCTTAAAAGGACCTCCACAGTGCGTCCCTCCGTTTCCGTGTATTGCCTAACGGCGGAGCACGCAATAAGTAAAAAAATACATACATGAACATAACACATGTTTGAGTAAAGATGGATTTATACGCTTTACATTTAGCCACATCTATTGACTGTAAAAGTATAAAGATATGCCATGTACATTTATGTTTTTCTCAATTTTTAGTACTTACGTATTATCGTAAGAACTTTAGTAGGAATCGCCAAAGCTTCAGAATGCACCAAACTCTGCAACCACGCGTATAACAATTATTCAAGAAACCATTCACATGACAAACATGTAATTTCCAACGTCGTCATTTTCGTAAGCGTTCTTTTTGCTGTATTCCAAGTTCCAATGGCTTTTATAGACAAATTATGATTATTTTTCATCTTAAACTCGATTTTAAAATTTATGCTTATAGGATTTTTGCATATTAGAAAAAGAAAGGTGGACTTTCTGCAGGAAACGATCGTGCCTGTACGAGGAACCTGTACCTGTTCGCCCGGGAATTCAATAAAGTTTTGGTTAAAATCTGTACCAAACACAAGGCGATTGCAGGAAAAAGTCACTCGGGAAAAAGCGAACTGAAAACTAAGTCACCATTATTTTGCAATGAGGGGAAAACTAAGGCATGTTTAGAAGTGTCGCCAAGCTGGGAGAGGAAAGTTTTATTAAGACAACCAAAACTTCAGATTAGCGGAAAATTCTGACGATGATTGCGAGAAGATACGCGAAGCTGTTCGTCTGCCCGATAGTAAACATAGAAAAATGTTCAGCAGGTCATTTTCAGGATAGGCTTAAGCTATGGTCAAGTGAAACACTGACTGTGACATAATTGAATAAGAGTTCATATGAGCTTTGGTATGAAAGCAGTATTAAAACACGAGGTGGAACAAATCTACCTAAAAAGAAACGGGGGATGATAATACACGATTTTCCCAGAGGCATTTCGAAAGAAAAAAACCTCCTATCCAAATGACCTCGATGGGCTGAAGCTAGCTTAGCGTCTTACTCTTAACACCTCCCTCAAGAAAGCGCGCTATAATCCCTGCTGGTTACATGAAAATTTAGCTCTTTTTCCCAGTTCCCACTGGCGATACTATTTGGCGAGATTTTTAAGAGTTCCCTTTTTCCCGAGTGACTTTTTTTTGCGCACTACACAAGGTTGTTGTTTTGCCTAATTGTGTGGATTCATTCTCACTTATTTAAATGCTCTATTAAGATTCTATTTTGCTTTTCTAGGATGATTTCACAGCCGAAATGATGCATAACTTTAAAATTTCCAACAAGCGCTTATAAAACAGGCAAAAAATTATTAATCTGGTGGCTATTCTTTTTCATGTAATTTAAATCTGCCACATCAGCATAAGTAAAATCATGAGAATAAAATATGAAAGTACTTCAAATCGATTGATAATAATTGCGAGAGTATACTTGTATTGTCTTATCCTGAAACAGATAATTTTTATTATCATTTGTGCCCTAGTCTGTAGTAATATAAATTATAAAAGCAAATAATACTCATTAATTTAAAAGGAATTTCAACGGGTTACACACTTTTAAATGCTTTCGAAAAAAAGAAGTAAATGTTTTGGAACAAAAACTTCTAGCAGCAACTTATTTGAAATAAGAAATATACTCTTATTATTAGAGTTATTCTTCTTTAAAAATGTTTCATGTAATCAAGCTGTGGATAGTAAGACATGTTTTTGCGCTTTCCTAAATTCTTATTCCATAATTTAAAAATGTTGCGGAATGCGCGGTAATAAAATTTCTAAGTGCTAAATAAGCAACATTATTAATCGGAAACGGAAAAATCGTCAGTCATTACTTCTACAATAAAAGACGACTCCAAACGAATACCCGAAAAAGATGCATATGGTTTTTCATGTTTCTAAAGTTAAATCGTTACTAACGAGGAAAAAAATCTGCTCACGCAGAGATAAATTGCAAAGTCTTTAAATACATCTGTAACAATAAATAAAATAATAAACCAAGATTTAAGGATTAAACAAGCTAAAAAACATAATATTTCCCAGCTTCTGGAGGAATATGGCTCAACGCAGAACTATTTGTTAAATCCTGTATAAAACCTATTTAGCAGGAGTTAAATTGAATTTCATCGAAATCCTTGATTACGCATGTGTTTACCTAAATGACTGCAACAAAAATGGTCTATTTATCATCGAAAATGAAGGGGGTTCGTTACGAAACTAAAAATAACAAGGGGGTTTAAAATCGCCTCAACGTACTATAAATAGAAAGTTTTATGTCCGACATTTACAATTCTTTATCCCAGTGACTTTCAGATAATGAAAGTTCACCAAGACAAAGCAACAAATCATACTTCGAAAAGTACCATTGCATTCCTTGAAAAAATGAAGACTGATACAAGTATACTTTTTCAACGTATTCCTGCGAAGTCCCCTGATATGGACTGTCTATGATATCATTCTAATAGCAAACACACCACGATTGATAAACTCTGGAATGTAGTGAAAGAGGAATGGAAATCAATATCCCTAGAAATTTCGCGAAAAGCACTAAATCTCAATGTAGACTTATGGTCCAGAAAAAAGGCCAGTTAGAACACGGTTCTAAATATTAATTAAACGGCCTCTCAATCCTTCTAAAATATGTAAATACCCTCTTTAAATATGTCGTAGAAATATAAATAACTTTAAATCATAGCAACAAACAATAGTATCATAATTGATTACAATGAACGGAATTTGATAAATGAATAGATTAAACTGAATCAATTCATCACTTATGCAAAACAGAAACGAAGCTTTTTGTTGTCAGTGTCCTAAAACCTAAGCAAAATGTCATGCAGAATAAAAATACTTCTGGCGATAAATCTAATTGAAAAACTTATTTGCCACAGCTGAGATAGCTGAATTTAAAATAATAATAAAGCAACTATTTTGAAAGACAATGAAGCTACATTTAATTCAGGTAAATTTGCGAAGTATGATTGGTCTTTCCTGTTTCTTTATGTCATCACAGAGTTACTTCCGTAATGTGTTTTCGGTCACTGAAATTTTCTTTCTCGGGATTATCGAAACCGACAAATCCCAAGTAAGAAATCTTTGGAATTTTTCCAATCTTAGCAAAAACATACATAAATTTACATATTTTGGATATTATGCAACTGAAGTACATTTCGTTACTAGTCCTCCAATTAGAATTAAGTGCCTCATTTTGCGATGAGAGACCTTAACTCAACAAAAATAACTTTCTGGGGGGGAAGAAATCAGCAGTCTACTCATTTAGTGACAACATAGCAAAAGGAAATATCAAAATTACCGCAATAAGGGGGAGAACCGGCCGTTATTAGAAAATACTTAGAGTCGTTTCCATAATTCCGTTTCATATCCAAATGATAACTCATATAAGCACATCCGTTTCCTGTTTCATTACAGGTATCGCATTGTCCGCTCAAATAAGCATCCCAACTCGAGCACTTGTGAGCAAGCATCTGGCAGTGTCGACGGTTTATGGTTTCTATGAACAACATTGGCGCCCTCATGTGGCTGCAGATCATATCGCGAACACCTGGTGAACAGAAATGAAGACAACATGAGTACAGATATCTGTGTTCTAAAAAATGACATGAAGAAATAAGTTAATAATATAGAAGCAAGTGATTAGTTATACTATAAAAACATAGAAGATGAAATATTTTTCGATATTGTATTTTTGTACGTGTTCTTCAGTGCCATGACGACTAAAATGAAACTACTATGTTACACTGTGAAAATTAGTCCAATTGATTGGCGTAAATACTGTAATTTAATTTTTTCCCTTCACGCAGATCGCTTGATTATAAATATAAAAATATTTCCAGAAGGTCTTTCTATATACAAGGAAGATAAAGTGCAAAATAACTAAATCTGTCTGCATCAATATTTCAGCATTGTTTGAATTACATTCTTTACTAACCAAAGCAAGTAAAATAATCTTCTAGAACATTTTATTTTGAATATTTTTCTCAAAAATTAAAATAGAATAGGTTGACATTATTTTTGAAAAGGTAGTCAATTTTTAGTGTTTGATTATCTTTATCATATAATGCAAAATGAATTTTCGTTGATGAAGTGAGACGTTCAAGTATCTTCTCCAAATAACGAATGTTCATTGCCTTTTAAGTATCTATCATATAAATAAAACTAAATCAGATTATATTCATATCTAGACTGCGTTATTTGTTTACAATAATTTTCTAATACATTTCCAGTAATCAACAGTTTTCATTTCCCAAATGATCCGGAATCTCAAATGCCGCTTCTCTTGATATCTAGAACGGTAACATGCGTCGGTCACCAGATTTCGGCATAACAATTTAGTGGCGCCATCTAGTGCACTACAGATTACTAAAATATTTAATACTTCAAATTAAAGCGCTGAGGCATAAATTAATAGTTTAATTTTTTTAAAGAAGACTAGGAATACTAGAGACAAAATCCAAATGCAATTCTCAAGCGAAACACTCTAATAAACTGTAATTTATTCCATTTTCTTTTATTTTGATTCCCAATTAAGTAAATTTTAGTAATGTTAAAAAATAAGGAATTATCAAATCGAAAGGATCCCTTAAATTGTTAAGTAGATGTAGAAATTTAACATTTTATCCACTTAGCTCTTACGTTACTGATAATCATAAAACTGCAATAAATTTGCTGTATTTTGAGGAACTGGTAAGTATTTTTAAAATTTTCAATGAAAAAAAATATTCCTTATCATTACCGATAAATTATTGTTGATGAATAAATTCTAACACGATATATTAATTATTTTCCAAACGATAAACCTTCCTTATTATTCTTTATTCAGTTATGCAGTTTGCGCTTTTTTTTTTTTAGTCCAAAGGGATTTGAATCCCGAAGGACTATTAGTTTCGTTTTGGCATTTTGCGTCGGGACGGATAAATGTCGGTTCACTTTTCAAACTGTTGCCATAAAATGTTACAGTCCTGCATTATATTTGAAGAAATTAAATAATGAAAAATCTGCATAAATGTATGTATATTTCTCGTATTGTGATAAAACAACGGTACATAGAGTCATCGAATTTTGAATAACGTAATCCTCCAACGAATATGAGCATGTGGAAGACCAAATTTGTTTTATGATCGATTTCCTATTTTTTAAAGTTATTTTTTAAAGTTATTTTTAAAACTTTGACGAATTTTTGATTAACAAACTCAAGGATTTCAAAGCGAGCAATGGCAACGTTGTACAGAAAAAACATTTTTATCTCCAGCGAGGGAGTCTCTGTATCGGAAATTCTAAAGATATGCTCGTTTTAAAACTATTTTGCGATATTGCTGTTGCACTGGATCTTATGGTTTAAGTGCGAGGAACATGATATTTAATAAAGAAAGGTAACACACAAAATGTTAAAAAACGCCCCTTTGGCGTAATTTAAAATCTGAAACATTTCAGATTTTTTTTTTTTTTTTTTTTTTTTTTTTTTTAATTTATTGTATATGTTTAAGGTTTAAAAAAAATGCACTTTTACGTTATACTAGCGCGTTTCGCATTTAAATTATAATCACTATGAAAACATCAGCAGAATTTCACAGAAACATTGTAGTCGCTCTAGAAAAGGATAATTAAATTAAATTTTTATTTTATATCGATATTATATATATATATTACTTTATATTACGTATTATTCCATCGACCGGCCAAGTAGCACGATTTAGCGCCATTTCCTTTAGAATTCTGCAGTAAAGATTGGCGAACGTTCCCACAATTTCTGTCAATGGTCGACGGGGCAATACGCAAGTACCTATTAAAGATTATTCAAGCTCCGTAAAGTAGCTTATTTAACAATTTATGGGGCAATATGGACAATAACAATATGGGATATAAAAGTAACCTCAAAATCTAAAATATCTGAATTTTCAATACACCTTTAATGAGCTAAATAAACTAACTTGAAACATTAGTAAACTCATAACTGCAATGTATATACATATTTAAGATAATTTACATGCGTTTAGTGGATTAAAATTGTAGTGCAAACTTACCTTCTACAACCCCTCGTTCTAATAGTGTTTTCAACGAATTTGAGGCAGTACATTGTGGTTGCACTTCACCACCATTCGGATAAAAATCCACATGGCCAACTGTCTCAACCATTCCAATACCTAAAATGAAATCATTACAAGAAATATAAGTATAAAGAATCAGCAAATTGACGTCTGACAAATGAATTTACTTGAACTATTAATAATAGTGAATAGTCTATTGTATATGAAGATCATAAAAATTCATAATTTACTAAATGCATAATTTTATTAGGACTGCTCTCGCATATATTGATTGCCTCCTCTTATTTCTATATAGCACTGCAAGCAAAAACAATATAAAAAAATTGTTTTTTTTTTAAGTCAATTCCCACTTGGTTCCAATAAACAGGAATAAATAAGTAGGAATTGGCTTTAATATGTGAAAAACTTATTAACATCAAGTGTCATCCATTACAAGTTTAAAAATATGTATTTGAACTTGAGTGGAGGAATAAAAAGTATTTTATTACCAATTGAAAATTTGAACGAGATATAGGAAGAGTGTGAGCTAATAGTAGGAATTTAAAAAAAAAAAAAAAAAAAAAAAAAAGACCTTGAAAAACAGTGAGATTTGGAAAATCTTAAAAGTAAATTTTTTAAAGCGTTTGAAAGAAAAAATTTCATGCGAAATTGAAAGATTAAACTAGATTTTTACAGAAGCGTGATATAATATGAAATTAATGGCGTTCTTGTAAATTACTGAATGGTTTATGTCTGCTGCACACATATAAATTTCCTAAATTCTAAAATCTATCTAAATACGATACATATTACTCGTATTTCATTTAACTAATGTATACTGCTAACAGAAGTGTTATAGATAAAAAGCATAAAATTTGTAAGATTTATTATTTAAATTAACCAGTTATTTATAATTTCAGCCTTTACTATAAATTCTCCTTTCCGTTTGCTCACCAGAAATGTAAATGAGAATATATTTAAGCTGAGGGAGTGTAAGACACATCTCATTTCGACCTCTCGTAACCACATTTCGTATTTCTTGCCAACTTTGATAAATTTGTAATTCTTTGATTTTGCCTTCCTGTTGCCAACATTTAAATTTGATACGCCAGTTAAGAGTTTTTGAGCCAGCTTAGTTTTAAATTCAGTTGTGTATTTTTGGACAAGTAATCTACGTTTCAAATTTGAATTTGACTGTTACTTTAGTTACATAGCCACAAGCGGTAATTGATTCTGTTAGGGCAAGAAGTGCTTTTATGTTCAATAATTTTTTATATGCAAGAAGTTGTTTTAATAAAAAGATTGTTTGAACCTTTTCAAGAATCTAGTCTGCCTCACTCACACTCATGTTTCTAATTTTAACAATCACACATCAGAAAAAACATTAAAGCATCTATAATTTCAAATGGAACGCAGATCTACTTAAATTAAGATGTATATCCTTCCGACATCATTGCGGTGCCCCCAGTGAGTAAGTATTTATGATCATTTCAAGTTATTGAGGGAAATGGTAATGATAAAAATTGTATTAAAAAAACAAATTATTCAAAACTATACAAAAATTCAATACGTGTTTTCAAATGGACTTCAATTATTAGTTCAGTTACACTGAGATTATGCAACCCTACATACTCTCAAACGATAATTCTTTGAATTTTCTAGCACTGAAGGCAGATTTATATACTGAAAATTGGTTGCCACAGAATTCCGTCATTGAAATTAGGACAAAAATTATATTTCTCCATACTTCTAAAAAGTTGCTATATGAAATTTAAAAACTTTTTCTGTCAAAAGTCACACAGAAGTAGTATCAAATTTTACTCATGAGAAAATATATCGAGAGCAATTGTAATTAAAAGTTACGATTCCAAACGATGTAAAATAAGAACCACTAGTCAGAATGACTTAAAAACACATAATACAGTTAACAAAGGATGAGGGCGCCTGGCGTCTAGCAGAGTTAAGCAGGTGTATGCCCCTCGTCCTCCACTATCCAGCCTTTATTGAAGAATTTAAGAATAATACTAAGATAACGGGATTTTATTTGAAGTTAAAAATACTTCCAAAATACACTGGTAGATGACGTCAAAAAAGAGAATTTGCCGAAGGGATAGGCGCTAGGTCACAAGCAAAATGAATAGCGCGTAGGGAATGGTACTATTCGCCGTGGCCATTTCGCCATCGGGTCGTTTCGCCATCCAGACGTAATGAACGAATGTATTACATTTTGCCGCATTATATTAAGTTGATTTAAACTAACAACTCTGTGTACTTTAATAACTTGATTTGATAAACATTTTATATAAAATATAAAATGTTTAAAATTAGATACACAACTGAATTATTAGAATACACAATTGAATGCACATCCATACTGCAGCGTTACACATGACATACTTGTACACGCATAATTTTAAAATCAGTGATATAACTACTGTTATATCAGATGTTTAGCCCCAATTCTCTTTTGACATAATTTTCCAACTATGTGTAATTTCTTTATATCTCATACTTGTAAATAACTATACATATAAAAAACAACCTTTATTAAGTATAGAAAAGAATTATTAAACTAAATAAATTTAATAATAGTATAATAAGACAAAATAATACACAATCAGGTAAAGAAAAATATGTCTTGACGGCGAAACGGCCACGGTGAAATGGCGACGGCGAAGAGTTAGACCCTCTGCGTACGCTCGCCCTACATCAGTTCCCATTATTCTGCGTGTCAACGCTTCGTCATGACACTCTCCTGAAGAATATTGTTTATTGTATATTATGTTTTTAAATTAAAATTTTCTTCCAGAATGGAGATTGTGTGTTAACTTCTCTCTACCATTATAGTATTTAAGATCTAGTCCAGTGTCTACAAACAAGCCATGGACAAGCAATCTGAAATTCAAAGAAAGTGGTACATTGGACATGAAGCCTGGCAGAGGAACGAAAACAATTGCTTATACTCCAAAGAAAGATACGGCTACAGCATTATAAAAAGAGACGAGCAGTAGTGTGGAAAGCTATAGAAACGGGGATTTGCTCGATCGTTAGGACATGCCTGCCAGCACTGTTAGTAAAATGTTACAAAATATCATGCCCAATTTTCCATACAAATTACACGTATTCAGGAGACCCACCTGCCACAAAGAGAAGCATTCTTCCTACAATTTCTTTCTCGGGTTGGAGCGAACAATGACCGATGACCATGGAACATTTTGTGGATAACGAAGCCTATTTCCGTCTCCAAGGCCCATTTTCAATGCACAAAATCCCAGCGAGCAGGAAATAATTTCCACTGTAACCATTGCCTCTTCATTCTGTTACGATTACAGTGTGTCGCGAGTTCATGGCATTGGTTATCATTGGCCCATTCTTTTCGAGGAGACTTATGATCCCTTTACTTGTCCCTTGACTAATCAAAGATAAGAATCTCGTTGATGCTAATACAACAACTTCCTTCTTGCACTTCATCAGTGCAAGTAGGGAGGTCCCGCTCCTCCATCCTTTGCAAAACCGCTACTGAGTATCCATTTTGGAAATAACAGGTTTAACAGCAGTCATTTTCCAACAGCCTGGCCGCAAATGTTCACCTCACATCAATTGCTGCAAAATCTGCCTTCAAAGTCGTCTCAAAAATGTTGTGTACATTAGTCGGATTGCGAACATGACGCCTGAAGGTAGGCATCCATCCTGATGCATTTGATCTTTTGTGGAGCATACTGTTTTTTGCTTCAACTCGTACAAAAGCACGGCGGACAATCTACTGAACATTTCTTGCGTCAGTTGTTAATGCTAGTTTTGTAATTTTCTTTTTATCATGCTTTCGTAAGTTCTTGTAACTTATTTCACTTGTTTGACAGTAATATCAGCACAAACTCACAAAATTCATCGTGCCATGGAGTTCAAGATTGCGCCTATCGTTGGCAAGAGCCTGGAGCACCATACAGATGACAGTATGACTTTGCTCAGTTCAATCCCTAATTTTGATAGAGAGCACAGCGGGAGGCATATTTCACTAGTTCACATCTGCGTAGCCGCCGAGGGAGTGCCTTCTAGGATGGACCAATAGGCATCCAATACCTCTGTTATGTCACATGACCTTTCGCGTGCCTTAAGATTTAAGCAAGATGGTTGAAAATATTCTGCTACGGAATTTTCAGTAAAAAATAATTAAAGCATCGTCCATTTCTTCTGAAAATTTTCATTGCAAAGTTAGATAAAATATGAGCAATTGTGAAGTTTTCACTACCTAGTTGAAAGAATTTGAAATAAATACAAACGCATGGATACTCTGCAAAAATATCCATGTGAAATATTACTTAATAAGTGGTAAATGAGATGAAGAAATAAATATATGATAAACATCTGAGCCCAAATGCTATCATTACATAAAACTATGCATATGAGAAAAATATTTACGCTAGTTATACGTGTTATTAGAAGTCAGCACTTTTTATTGTAGTCTACATGAAAAAGATGTTCTATAACAATAGCCAATGCAGAATTTTATTCAAAGTGAATTTTACTAATTTGCATTCGTATACATTTAGTGTGTTAAATTTTTAATAACTGCTCACTCTTAAATTTACTGTCTACACAAGAAATACTCATCAAACAGAATGAATTTACCTTATTCATAACGAATATATTCAATTTATTCACATATAACTTTTAACGATGTATATAATCAGATCATACACAATATGTATTCTGAATCTTACACTTTAAAAATCAAAAGAAATGCAAGCTCTAGAAATAATAAAACACCAGCTAAAGTCATTGTAACACTTTCAGTCCTTCTCAGCTCATTAAAAAAAGAAAACTATACACTTGAGTTCTCTTAATCCACAGGTGTTAGTAAACGCATAATATTCGAGGCTAATTGCTTGCTCGATTCACTTTTCTCGATGTAAAGAGCGATAATAGGCCATTGAACATCAATTCAAATATTAATGCGTAATAAAAATCGCGTAAGTGAAATGTCAGCGATTAATTAAACTCATAAAACGAAAGCAGTACGAGATTTTCTACTATTGCGCCATACATTTATAACTGCGAAACAAATGCAATTAAAACGTAAACAGCATACGCTCACATGCACGAAGATTTAGCTTTACAAGAGCAATAGTAACTCATTGGTCCACTTTCGAAACTCTTCTACCTCTCGAGAGAGCTTTCGGCTCGCCGCATATTTAGAGCCACAAAATTTTATTGTTCACGTACATCCAGGTAAAATTTCAGGTCACTCTGACAAACAGTTCTTGCTTTACAGCATTTTGACATTGAAACATTATTTTAAAATTTATATTCTAGGGTATATGAATATACTTGATTTTAAAATATAATTATAGGTTTAACTTCATATAGATATTTTGGATGATGCATTAATTAGAAAAAACTAAAAAGCCGCAAAACGTTGTTAGAATCTGTTTTGTGCCATTATTTTTGGGTAGAAAGACGTCGTAGTTACAGGATCCATTGAATAATAATCATTTATTGTTGTGCCTGATACTTATCTCAAGAAACTATTCTAAGGTTCATTAAAACAAAAGTACGTTTCTTGTACACAGACAAAAATTATATTTTATTCCCATATCTATAAAGCACCTGAAATGAGAATTAATAGGCTTATGCTATCAGAATTATTAAGTTTAATGCCTTTACTACTTCATTCCTCATGCGCGAAAATCAAGATGAATTTTAAAAAGTCAGGATGAGAGGTGCGCTATCTAGCTGTGGACAATTTCGATTTGTAATATCCAATTCACACTTTAGTGTTGTATTTTTATTACTACTATTCTTGACCCTGTAACTGATGTGTAGATTTGACTTTCATATCTGCAGCATTTTTTGACATATTTGTTAACCTAACTTTGCTAAGTCATCTAAAATAAACAGTCATGTAACATAACATATATGTTCAGAACAGTAGGGATTGGATCATTCAGTTATGGCAAAGCACGCGGGGGCTATCTGCCTAAAGGGAGGGATGCTTTGGTGGAAGACTTTCTGAGGAAAACTGGCTCGTATACACGTTACACATGGGGAAAACCACGAAAACACCCATGCAGCCAGCCCGTTCGCGAGAATCGAACCTCGGACCGAACTACCAGTGTTCAGCGTCTTTACCGCTCGGCCGCTGGTGTGCCTAAGAACAGTTTGGTTTATTTGATTATGACAAAGCACTCATGTGCAATAAGCTTGAGAAGGAATGTCTTCGTGGAGGTCTTTCTAAGTGAAACTGGCTCGCATACACGTCACACATGAAAAAAACCACGAAAACGCCCATGGGTATTCGAACCCTAGCCGTACCATCAGTGTTCAGCGATTTTACCAATCCGCCGCTGGGGGTCCTTATAAGTTCAAAATCATTCAAAAATGACTTGTTACCTGGGTTACTGTTCTAAACGGTACTTCCGGAAAATCCCGTCGACCACAAGAGACGACGCCAAACCAAAAAAACCTATTTACTAAATAAAATAGAAAACGTTCTTTTCTTATTTTTCTTTCGAATTTATTATATTATCATTTATTTGTATTTAATTTTTCATTAAAAATTGCCATTATTTTTTATCAAGGGGATGTGCTGTAAAAGCGATTATTTTCGCTAGGCGCCATTTCGGGGCCATTAACACATTTTTTGAGGCAATTAAAATTCCATAACTTTGGAAATATTCAACAGAATATTTCCAAAGTAGTAGGCAGTAGTAGCAGGCATCTTCTGTAGTAGGCAGGTCCCAAATTTTAATCTTTTTTTTTTTTTTTTTTTTTTTTTTTTTTTTTTTTCCCCCGAATATGCGTGATAGAGGGAAAGAAAGGAGTCGGTTACACCAAACCCAGCGTATTTGAAGAAGACTTTTCCATTTCTGGCGAAAACTCGCGTAGTTTGGCGTCTTTTCTTTAATAGGAAAAAATGGTCGACGGGATTTTCCGTAAGTACCTTCTATTTTTTTTCTTGGTATACATTTTTGTCAGCCTAATGTTAAATCTATTTCATTCTCACTACGTTCGCTACATGAGTTATTTAGCTCTCATTTCTTCGTTTATATTTCATCACTATTTCTTTTTCTGGCAATCATTAAAAACTTCATCGGATTTAACTTTGGTATGAAAAAATATTGATTAGAATATTTCTTTCGCTTCATTACACATTCGATTTCCATTGTGTACTTTAATGTCGCCACTGCAACAACAAAGGAACAATTTGGAAGATTGAAACTTAGTGTAGCGCGTTAAGTATAGCTAATCAAATTTCTGATCACCTAAGTATTTCAGGTACTCAATGGCAACCAAAAAATAACTAAAGTAAATGCATATTAATGACAATCAAAACCAGCATTTAAAACAACATGAAGTCACCTTCGTTAAAACCAGAAACAACAAAATAAAAAGATGTGAACTGACGCCAGCGACTACAAAGCTGTTAAAACCAATTTGATGTAATTTATTATTTGTCATGTGCTTTATTAAAACCAATTTGACAATAATTTTAGTATTTGACATGTGCTTTATTAAAACCAATTTGACATGTGTATTTCAAAGAAATCAAATAGGATTCATAATATTAAATTTAAAATGCAGTCACTTATTTCATAAATATATAAGTTAATACGCAGTCAGAAAATAAATTATCCAAATATGTTAATTCTCGCTGAAAAACAATTTTTCTGTATTTTGAACATACTTTCTAGCACAGCTGATTGGAATGCGAAAAGCGTGCTGAAAATACAAGCTGATCGATTGAATCAAAAAGTATTTACTAATTAGAGCACTGTGACTAAAAGATTTCTTAGGAAGAAAAATATTTTCTGAGTGTGGCATGGTACTAACCAGACTAAAGCAGCCAAATATTCTTACCTCCAGCGTCCGTGTGAATAACATCCACGAAAACAGCATCTGATCGATCAAGTTTGCCTCTCGGTGAGATGTTACTGAAGAGATATGTTGCAGGATCCAAACCTGCCAAAAAGTAATTAACATTATTGATTTTCTAGGTAGTTCAATATTTTCCTAGCACAAATTGTAAATTCACCAGTGTTGTAGAGAAAAATGTGGACCCTAGCAGTGATTGTGGTGTAGACCCATAGCGTAAGAAAAACAATTAGATAAATAATTACTTTATAAAAAGCAATCCATATTTGCTTTAAATCAACAAATCTATTACCACGAAAGGAATATATATATATATATAAATTAATGACGACCAGCAGCAGGCCCATAATATAGTACAAGAAAAGCAATTAGAGAAATAATTATGTTATAAGAAATAATGCATATTTTCTTCTAAATTAACAAACCTCTACCACCACATTATATACATATATATATATAAATTAACGATCAAAAGCCCCATAACTGGGTATATTTCACTAAAAAAACATATTTTATAGTGCAAAAAAAATTGTGAAAATAGTTTGTATTGTGAAAAATTGCGAAAGTAATTTCATTTTACTTATTGATTATTTTACCTTGGATTTTAAGATTTTTATGTGTTAATTATTTTACCTCAAGAACATTACGTATAAAAAGGAACTTGCGCTTAAATCTAGACTCTTGAGTTTTTATATAAAAAATGGATACTGTTCTGCTGTCGGGACCGGATACAGAAATGTACAAATGTATACACGTGTATATGTAAGTATGTGCATATATGTATTATTTATATATACACAGACATTCGTACTGGCATATATACATGCAATACATGAACACGCACATCCATACATACATGCACACATTTCTGAATTCAGTCCTGATACATTAAAAAAAAAAAAGAGCCCAAAACAGCCACTTCAAAAAACTTATGGTAATTTGTACCGTCTTATCCTCCTCTCTCTGCAACCAGTCCCTAGGCGGTGCTGATTTTAAAAGGTCATTTTATTTGTTTGGCATCTCACTTCCCATATTCTTCAAGCTCTGCATTCGAGACTCTTTATGGTCTTGTCACATCTAATGGTGAATTAGAAGCTTTTCCGAGAAACGCGTTTCTGTTAGCACACTGTTTGAACGGCGGTGTCTAGCAACAACAACTGCGTTCAGCGATCGATTGGTTTCGCGTAAATAGCCGTACTTACGCTGAGGAAAATACTACTCCGGCACCTGTGTTTCAAGATTTAGATCTGATCTCTTCCTTAACACCCGTTCATTAATAATTCCAGACCTGTGTGTTAGTTTTGGTTTGATTTGGTTTATGTGATTATAACAAAGCCTCCAGAGCTATCTTCTTAAGAGAGAGATGCCTTTGTGGAGGGCTTTCTAAGAGAAACTGGCACGTGTACACATTACACAAGGAGAAAACCACTAAAACGCCCGTTCTCGATATTCGAATCTCGAACCGAACTACCCGTATTCAGCTACTTTACCGTTCGGCCGTTGGTGGGCCCCGTAAGTTAGCTTCACAACACGATACTTAACAGAAAATAGTGATTCACATAAATAACAGTAATCAAAAGGGGCTTTGGTTTGTATGATGCCCTTCTCAAAGCGAGAAGTTTTCTTTGATAACTAAATTTCCCATTTGTTACATATGGTTTTTATACAGAGTCGTTTTAAAGATCCAAAATCCTTCCATCTTAATTTCAAATTTTATCGTGAATTTACTTGTTTTAACTCAAATATAAAAGGGATTTAAAAGGATTATTTTACTTCTTTAGAGATGAAAATAGATTATATGCTAAGAAAAATTTTAAAGAATTATTTGTTTAATTCTATCCAAAAGAGTGCGTTTTGTTTTTAATTTACACATATATATACGTTAACCATGAGGCCGATTATTATCGGCTAGGATGGTTATAGTGCACTCGTATATTACATTACATTTAAATGCATATCATGTGCAAACACCGTATGCACACGTAGGGAAGCAAATTTATTTAGAAGAAAACTTTCATGAAGAAGAAAAGTATTTCATTTGTCATCAAAAAATATTTGATAAACTCGGTCCTGAAATCTGTGATTTTATCAGAAACCACGTATAAATGTATCTTATATGTTTGTTGCAAGTGACTTCCTTTCTTAAACACACTAATTCACAATATACCAAATTAGACTAAAAGTATTATCCTACTATTTTCAAGCACTCCCACATGTATAGTAACATTACTAATAACTTAATGGCTAAAACATTATGTGCAACTACTAGACATGCTCAGGTGAATAAAGTTTTTATGATCCTGCAGTTGATGTATAAAAATTCTGAATAGCGACTTAGATTAACAACATGAATCCATGATTTATGTAATATACTGAAAGCGTAACCATTTCTGAATAATAGAAACTTCTCTGAAATTTTTTGTTTCTATGGTTCCCAACTTTTTATAATAATACCGAAGCGTTTTAATTTATTTGTATTTATTGACCTCCTGGATAATTTTTTATAATCAAATACTTTAAAATCTTAATAATTCCTCTAAATAGAAGTTACTTTTGAACACTTATTTCATAACAGTGAAATATAATCACCTGTGATACGCTGTAAACCTTTTACTCGTTCACCAACATGTCCTGCAACATGAGAGCCCAAACTATGTCCTATCAGGTGAAATTTACTCGGCTTGGCTCCAAACTGATTCTGAAATGTAAAGAAAGATTAAGAGAAAATAAATTAAACTTGAAGCTGCTCACAGTATTATGTATGCAATACAACTGTTATTCAATTATTTCGGAATTGATAGCTTAAAAATTTCTTAGCTGTAAATTTTTGCAGTCAAACTAGAAAATAGCATAACCTACTGAATTCTGGTACGGTGCGAAAACATCCTCATTAAAACACCCTGTTTTTCGTAAACTTTCATAATAAGAATTTTAATGGCTGTAAGTCTTTCTGAGATAAAACTAATATTCTTAAACAAAAATAGAGTTTACAAAAGACGATTAAAAAAATAATGTTTTCAACAGTAGCAGAAATAACGAATTTGATTTGTAGTTTGATTATAAGATACCGTGACCGCCAGTATGTAAAAAATTTGAGAAAGTATTCCAAAGCTAAGGCAATGGTTTTGTTTGAGACGACTGTTTGAGATAATATAAGCTCAATGTGTGCATTTACTTTTTTCCTTCGCTGAGACAGTGAAATAACCGATAAGAACTACGCAGGTTATCTAAAAACCACATGTTTGAAACAATTTCACCATCTAGCTTCAAATATTTAAATTATAAAAGGAAATACTTGAATATATATCAGTATCAGAAAAAAAATATTTTGAGCAAAGCAGTAATACTTGAGAGTTATTTGAAAAGGCAAATTAGAGCAAAGCATTTTATTTTCCAAACGTGGTCCATAAATTTAATTTGCTTAGTGTATATATTAAAAAGGGAAGGAATTTCTCTTCAAATTGCCAAAATAAATTAAAACAGGCAACTTTTGTATTTTTAAAGATCATTTACTCGGTATTACAAACAATTTTATTTTACGTTTAATTTCATTATTCAAAACCATAGTGTTCATTAACTAAATTTACTAATACCCACTAATTAATAAACACTACATTCTAAAACTTAATGTGAAGCTAATATTTAAAAAAAAATAGTAGTCTTGGGTTATCGTGAAAGAAAATCGCCTATCCTGAAACGAACCAACAAGCAGAAAAAGCGCGGCAAAAAAATTTGAAAAGGCAACGGAAAAGAGGATCTTTTCGGTTATATGACAACCACCAGCCAAATAATTTACTCTTACATGAGCGAAATTGATGCTTTCAGCGAAAAACCAATTTAATTATTAGCCCGTTTCGATTTGAGAAAAAACTTCCGACATTCTTGTTGTTTCTACAATTAATGTTAGTACGTCTTCAAAAGGGTTCTCTTTCCTTCCGATTCCTTCTTAACGACTGGAAATTATACAGAGTCGCGCACAGTATTTTTTCAGAAAAAAGGGTATTTTATCTCATGACTGAATATAAAAATGATCATTGAAATGCAGCTACATATTAATGATGAACGCATGTAGAGATACAGCGTTAAAAAGTTTCAAGAAAAATAAAGCCACTCGTTTTAGAAACTGGTTCTATAATTCCCGACTACCAGTTACAAAAGCGTTATGGTTTACTTATTTAAGGGCAGAGCTCCCGTTCATTAAACGTTCAAAACGAATAAAAAATTAGCGAAACAGCTGATATAATTCTATTCATAAATGTGCAAAACGGTTGCTGATTGGTAAAGTTACGTTGTCTGAGCGAGATGTGAAGAAAAGCTGGTTTTTGAATAAACAATCAACTTCAGCGTTAGTCGCAGAGGAGACTATTTTCTTCCATGGTGGCGGCTGCTTCATAAAAATACATAAAAATTATCATGGAAGAGGTTGGAAAAAGGACTTACAATTAATATTTTTAATACTTCAGAGATCTCTTCACCAACTTGCTGTGTGTTTCCAGCTGCTCTAGTATAAGGTATGAAATTCCCGTAACTCCAGTCGACAATTATCACATTGAGGTCATCCAATAAAAGAAATTCATCTTTCATAGCCTGTAAACAACTTAAAATCATGCACTTGATACTATGCATGCAATAACGTATACTTAGACATATATTATGTTTTCATAGATAAAACAATTTTATATATAACAAGCATACAAGATAAAAATATTACATTTACGTCATCATGGATCCGGTTGAAGCATACTCTGACGTATATCGTAATATACAAACTGTCTTCACTTAGCGTATATTTATTTACGTTTTCAGATTTGCTTAATTCTGTCGTGAGTTCTGCCTTTGTCACGTCAATGTTAGCAAGTGTTCAAACTTTAAAGAAGTCATTTCGTATAAAACTGTCGCATTTTCTAATTAATATTTGATCCTGGTGAGTTAATTACACATTGTTTGATAATTTTATTGAACACATGTTATTCAAGAATAAAGGGAACTATAGACTCATAAGACACACTCTTGACATAAATAAACAAACTAAAAAGGTCATTCCGAAATATTGCTGCTATATATGTTTACAGAAACTTATTTGGATACTTACGTATTATCGCAACCATCTTAGTAGAAGTAGCCAAATTCTCAGGAAGTGTCAACTCTAGTAACCATGCTCATAACAATTATTTCAGTCAAGCAATGCCGCTATTTTCGTATATACCTATCCCTCGATTTACACGGTACTCGTTTTACACGATTTCGTTTTTACACGAAAAAATTAAATTTTTTTTAAAATTAACGGATTTTAAAAATGCATATTTGGCTACATATACGCAAATACATATATCTGAAATCATTTTTTAATTTCATTCCTTTGGTAACACTAGTGACAACAACAAGGATGGAGATTCCCTGTGTTGTAAAAGGGGAATCTGCGTAGTATATATATGTATTTCATAACAGTAAAGCTATTTGGTTCATGTGAACTAGTGCAGTATCAGTATTTTAGCAGCAAAACTTACATCATTTTTATCTACATATTTGAATGTTTACTGGTAAGTTTCTCTCTTTTATATTTTCTTGGCATTTTTATAATTTACATAATTTTTTAAGGTTTTATAATGCCAAAAGATTTGAAGGAAAAAAATCAAATAAATATAAATAGTTATTTCTTTAGAAACAAAAATTAAAATATTAGATCGTCTACATAATAGAGAAACAGTAACAGATGTTGCTAAATTTTACTCCATGAATGAAGCCACAATAAGGATAATTAGAAAAATTAAGACTATTAGAAAAAATGCAGCAGCTGGAACTTCAGAAGTAAGAGCACAATTTCATATGTAAGAGATAATATATAGGAAAAATGGAAAGGCATTAGTGATATGGATAGAAGACAAAATCAAAAACGGATTCCAACTTATACTAATGCTTATACAAATACGGCTTTAAAGATTTATAAAGCACTTAAGAATCAGTCACCGTCGACTTCGTGAGATGAAAAAAAGGTATTTTTTCCGGAAGATATATAACTTATATAGATATATAGAGATATTTAAACAAAGACATTCTTTGCATAATCTAAAATTGAAAGAAGAAAGGGCATCTGCTGATTCGGATGCAGCACAACAATATCCAGCAACATTTTTTGAAATCATTGTCACCAACACCTACACTTCTGATCAGATCTTCAAAAATACTGACGAGTCCGGGTTGTTCTGGTTGGTTGTTTGCTTGACTTTTAATGGTACAAAACCTGGGGTTGTTCTGGTGTGTGTGTGTGAATATGGCAAAGCCTCGAGGGCTATCTGCCTAAGAGGAGGGATGCCTTCGTGGAGGACTTTCTAAGGGAAACTGGCTCGTATACACGTTACACATGGGGAAAACCACGAAAACGCCCATGCAGCCAGCCCGTTCGCGGGATTCGAACCTCGGACCGAACTACCAGTGTTCAGCGACTTTACCGCTCGGCCGCTGGTGGGCCTGGGGTTGTTCTGGAAAACAATGCTTGAAGGAAACTATTTAGCTAAAGCTTGCTAATCAGCTAGTGGTCATGAGGTAGCGAAAAGTCGTATAACAATTCTTTTCTGTTGCAACGCTTCAGGCGATTATATAATGAAACCATTGGTTATTAACAAATCAAAAACACCGCGCTCATTTAGGAATAAACATTCGTTTATTGGATGGGTAACTGCCAAAGCTTTCAATGAATGGTTTCATAACATGTTTGTCCCAGATGCCAAAAATTATTTAAGTAAAAAGAGATTGCCTTTTAAGGGCTCTTCTATTAACTGATAATGCGCCTGTTCATCCTCAAGATTTGCAACACGAAAATGTAGAAGTTTTCTTATTACCAATGAATACAACTTCCTTATTACAGCCGTTAGATCAAGGAATAATTTCGACTTTTAAGGCGTTGTATATCAAACAAATCTTCAGGTATGTTTTAGAACAAATGGCGTATGATGTATCTCTTGCTCTTATGCATGCTTGGAAGAAATTTACAATCTTAGGCTGTGTAAGCATGTTGGGCTGTCATATACTCAGATTACACAATCAACGCTCAACGCATGTTGGAAAGCAATATGGCCGAATACTGCTAAAGATGAGAATGATAGATTATCATTAGAGCATGAATACTCTCAAATCACTAAATTGGCCCAAAATATAGGAGAAGGTTTTAAAGATTTGGCTCAAGCAGATATTGAAGAAATAATGGCTGATAAAGAACTAAATGAGGATGAGTTAGTTAACATGATTCATGAAACAAATAAACATGATGAAGACAATGATTCTGATGAAGATAAACTGAACACGTCGCGTTCACAGCAAGTCATCAGCGTAAAACTTAATTTTGGGAAGAAAATTAGTTAATCATTTTTTACAATATGACACGACTGTTGAACGAGCTCTCCGATTCCAACCATTAAGTACTTTAATCACTATGAGGAGATTTAGAAAGATTTAGGGGGGAAAAAACCTAGGCAATTGTTAATTACGGATTTTACTACAAAGTCTTGTCGATTTGAGATCTTCCCTAATTCGTCAAACATTGAAGGAGAACCTTATCAAGAACGTAACGTTTCAAGTAATGAAAATGACATCATACCAATCAAGAAAAGACGGTACTTTTCAGTTTCGCCGGCGCAAATCTCGCCAAACAGACTTTATTGGCGACAGCATACAGTATACACATAAAAAATGCTAACAAATGTTAGTTCTAAGAATTTATTTTGAAATCATAAACATTTTAATATCGTTTAAAAGTTTGCAAAAAGCCAATAAATAAAGACAATAAATTTGTAAAAAGACATTAATTTAATTTACTATGCTTTCATGGTTCAAAATCCTGATTCGCGGGTTCATATCACGTGACCCCTAGTGATCTCATCTCACGTAAACTACGCTACAAAAATATAATTCTCTTATAATTATCTACATTAATTTCAAGTTAAATTTTAATTTGGAATAAAAGTTTAAATACAAGAATTATTTCAATTCGTAGAATAGCTTACTCAGAAATTATGTAAAACCGAAGTGTTTTACTTCGCTAGTGCATTCTCGTTAGAATTGATGAATTTTAGGTACTTTTCTACATTTTCGCCTTCGGGTGAGCGGTGTGGTTGCATCCTAATTGACTTAGTTACCGCGAATGGCCTTAGGGCATAAAATTGAACTATCAAGTAAAACGTCTATGTAATTGTATGCCAGTATTGAAAGAAACAACCAATCTGATAAGAAATGGTTGAGATTTGTTTTGAAAATGAGACGTAAAAGGTTACCAGCGAGGATATTCCGTTTGGTATCAGTTGTACCATTATTGGCGACTATATCGCCTGCGCCGGCAAAACGGAAAAGTACCGAAAAGACTAATAGTCCATGAAAGTGATGGCAGTAATTAAATTTATAATAATTTTTTGAATGATCTTATATTTTCCTAATGTAAAATAAATATGTACTTCTATTACCTACATACATTTGTTATTTTACGAACGAAGTATATTTATTTTAAGATGTCTTACTTTTGTTTTATGTAAATAAATAACTAAATTATGCACATTTGGGCTGCGTTTTTCTTTTTACAAGGTTTTACATAGCAAAATCCAGGATTTCGATTTACACGGTTTCGTGCGAAACTTATCTTCCGTGTAAACTGAGGGATTGGGGGGGGCGGTGTAAGTTGTATTTTCTATTCCAAATACCTAAATCCTGATATTTTTTGCCTTAAACTTGGTTTTAGAATATGAGCTTTTGAAATTCGCCAGCAATGAAAGAAACTAAGGTAAAATTTCGGCAGTAATACAGAATTTGATGAATTTTTTCTAAAAGGAACAACGAGGAAATGTTTTCTAGATAGATAATGCCGAAGATTGCACCGAAGCCCAGTCTCTGCAATTCTCTGATTTTTTTTAAGTGAAAGCAGATTGTTGTGTACTTCGCGATAAAATAACACAAAAAAAAAATTACAGAAAGATTCGGAGAAGAATGTGCCTTTTTTCCTTAATATACGACAATCCTTAGTTAATAATTCAAATTTGTATTTAAATTGCTAAAGTAGGTTATCTTTTCCTATGTTGATATTGCTTACCAAACTTACTATAAATATCGATAGTTTGAGAATCTTTCTAAAAAAGAAAGCGCGAAAACCACCAACTTGCACATGCTAAGTATCTTTTACATTTCCATCCATAAAAATTCCCCAAATTCCGCCAAGATGGTTGCGATAGTACGTAAATAGACTCATTGGAAGATATTAAATACACAGAAATATTAAATACATGAAACAACATGTAAATATTAAATACCAGGAGGCCTCATAAGACATCGTAAATTTAGACTCGAGATAGGCCCAAATCCGGTTTTTGCAAACAAAAACATATCCAAGTTACAGGCATAATTCAAAATAAATGTTATCGGAAATAAGTCCATTTTAATGTTTTCATTTTGTGACTTTCAAATAAAGAAATTTTTTAATTTGAAGTACTTATTTAAGGTTTTACACCAAAAATATTTGGCAAATATCTGATGATATTTTATTCGGCGATTAACTAGCGACATTAGTGAAGCCTCAAGATCACGAACACTTGCACTAATGTTCCGTTTTCATTAACGAGTCACAGTATCCAAAACATATTAATTAGCGGAAATAGCAGAAATATTTAGAATTAGCATGCTGGTGCTTTTTAATGAAATCCATTTTTGCAAACAGTACATATAAAAGATTATAATTAGCGAAAATAGCAAAAATATTTAGAATTAGCATGTTGGTGCTTTTTAATGAAATCCATTTTTGCAAGAAGTACATATAAAAGATTATAATTAGCAGAAATATTTAGAATTAGCATATTGATGCTTTTTAATGGAATCCATTTTTGCACGAAATGTATATAAAAGATTTCTTACGTGCATCCAATCAGCAATTCTTGCTTTATCCATAAATCCGTGAATTATGATTTTGGTATCCAGATGTGGGTTGAAGTACAGAAATCCTTCATCATTATGCAAATCTAATCTTAGACCTTCCGAAATGCTGTCTCGAGAAAACAAATAAAGTCTTGTCAACTGTCGGTGTTTGGTCAAGATGTTAGGCTGCCTTTTGCCTGGAAAAAATTAAAACCTGAAAGTGAGAAAAATAATAGAATTGCATTTATCATGTTCTGCCGTGAAAATATCTAAGTCTGAATAAAGAGTTTTCCTTAGAAAATGAATTAGGTACACATCCATTTAATTTGAGTCTGGACACCTGAACCTGTCTTTAATCTACTAACTTTTAAAGTTGGTAAATTACATCAGAGCAACTCCTTTTAATTTAGTACTTAAATAAGCTGTTGGAAAATTTTGCGTATTACAGTGCGTATAAAAAGAAACAAAATATTTTTAATAAATGCTTAAATACCATTATTTTACAAAAAAAAATAATATTTTGTTTTCAAAAAAGGTCTTATACTTCAGTGCAATATTGGGTATACCGAATTGGTGAATGGATAAATTCATATAATCGGTGGGTCTAAAAAGAGTCTAAATTTGAGTCTAGCCCCTTCGCGCCGACTGTCACGTATACGTGCCAGCAACGAACACACTTATCTACCGGCCGACACGCAGGCGTGCCAGAGCATTGTTGCGTTTTCTACCGACTGTCACGTATTTGTGCCAGTACCTTGGAACGTTTTTCAAACTATAATTTCTGCCACAAGATGGCACTGTATGTCCATATGGTTTCAGATACATGTACATTAGACCTTCTACTCGAAATGAGAGAAGCATGACTCACATACACGTGTTTTTGATTATATAAACAAACGGGGAACTAAATGTTTCCGAATGGCGTGATTTATGACGTCTCTTTAAATTGCACTTTATTCGCTCGTGGTAGTTGTTTATTGTAAGTAGAAGTTTTATATGCGCTAAAGCGTTGAGTATTTCGGTATACAGTTCAGTTTTTAGAAAATAATTAGATCTTGTTAAACGTGTATTCTTTCTGTTTTTACCGTTTCAATGTCGAAGCGTCGAAAATGTTTAACAGAGCATGAAATAGCAGAAATGATGCAAAATATTTCAGATATTGATTCTGAAATTCTGATATTCTGATATTGATTCTGAAATTCTGATATTCTGATATTGATTCTGAAAGATTAACTGAAAGACATTTTCCAAAACTTTGTTCAGAAGAGACTGATAAGAAAATGAGACGACGATGCTTCGTTTGTTCACCTTCCCGGAAAAATCCTCCAAAACGGCAAATGAGTTATTACGAGTTCAAGGAATGTAACGTAGGACTGTGTGTAGATCCCTGTTTTAAAATTTTTCATACGAAAAGAGAATTTTAAGTAATATATTTAGTTTTCAGATGTATAATGTTAATATAATAATAAAGTCATAAAATGGTAAGTAATTAAAATAAAATGTGTAAAATATGCATTTAAACAAGAAATAAGGTAATTAAAGTGTATATATAAAAATATCTATAAAGCATAAGCCGTTTAAATACTCTATAGAGGCATTATTAAACAATGCGTTGATACTTCGGAGATTTCATGGATTTAGGCTTAGTAGCAAAAAAGCCCCCGGCCCTGGAGAGACGCTCGCGGAAGACACTGCCGGCCTCCGCGATAAGCGCGCGTTTTCGCTACCCGGCTCGAAGGGGCTAGAGCCCTCTGCTAAATATTTATTAATGTGATGGTTATTTAAAAGGACTACTATCAAGCAATGAGTATGATTTTCCTAGCTCTTAATGCTCGAAGTCGGTGAAAGCATAAAAAAACCAAACCTTCTTCTGGAACGACATTAAAACTCGAGACCTTTTAGATTTTTTAAATTAAAATTGCAATTGTAAATAATTGATTTTTTTATATTACGAGAAAGTGCTAAAACAATTTTAATATAAAATTCAAGATTGTGTGTCTTGACTAGTTATTGTATCTGTTTTTACTTTCGTTTGATTCGTACGATTTTGTCTGATTTCATTTTATGCCTCGGTAGAAAGTACAGCCTACTTGATTTGAAGTGGTTATGAATATTTTAATTTAAATTTTATTAATGAATTTGTCTGAGGCACAATCACGAGAGCATCATAAAGATAGAAAACCTGTTTCTAACAGTCCAATCCTTAACATAAGTTTCATAATCTGGCAAGCAATACTCTGTGCTGCATGATTGCAAGCTGATCCTCTAAAGCTGCATTTGTTATGAAAAAAAGCCTTAAAATCATTAAAGCAAATTTAGCGATATCTTCTTCGCAGTTAGCGAAAATTCAGTTTTTAAGTTGGTTTTGTTTGGTTTAGTTGATTACGATAAAGAGTCCAGGGCTATCTGTCTAAGGGTAGGAGTACTTCGTAAAGGAGTATATGAGGAAAACTGACTTGTATATTACACATGGGAGAAACCATGATAATATTCATGCAACCATTCCGCCAGCTGGAATTTTGAACTAGGGTTGAACTACTAGTGTTTAGCGACTTTACCGTTTCGATCGCTAGTGGACCTTCTGTGTTAAGTGATCCAGAAGTTTTCATGGTGCTACTTGAGGATTGGGTCTAGTTGATGACTGAAACATTGTGTCTCTAAGATTTGGGCGTTTGTTTATGTTTTAATAATGTCTTTATAGCATTCAACATATGTCATTTCTTGGTCTTCTGTTAGCCTCCGGAGATAAATATATTTCTTTTCATTAAATCATTAATCAAAAGAATATATCATAACGGTACTTAGGAAAATCCCGTCGACCACAAGAGACGACGCCAATCACGCCAAACCAAAAAACCACATTTACTAAATACAAGAAAAACATTCTATTCTTACTTTTCTTTCAAATGTATTATATTAGCATTTATTTATATTTAATTTTTCATTAAAAATTTCCATTTTTTTTTTTTTTTATTAAGGAGATATACTGTAAAAGCAATTATTTTTGCTAGGTTTTAATTCTCGCGAGAAAATTATTCCACCTTATGAATCAATTGAATATTTCTCTATCTCATTACCCAGGACTTACGGTGCATGATTTTCCATTGACACCGCCCCCGCTAAGGAAAGGAAAGACAACGCAAACAGCCAAGCCTTAGACAGAACTCGAACTTTCCTCCATCGATCCCATACCGGCCGGAACAGTGAACTGGTTAAATGTAATAAAGAGAAATGCTGCAAAATTTCTAAGTGTTACATTTTCTGCTGAGAAATAAGGAGTGCTCACTTAATCTTTGACTGATTGATTGACTTGATTTAACGATACATTTTTAATAATTAGGAAGCGAATACAAAAGTACAAACAAATAACATTTCGGTTAATATTTTGGATTATAGTAACTTGGCGATTTTTCTGCGAAAATTTGGCGACCAACCCTGCTACAGCAACCTGCTAGTTTTTTTTTTTTTTTTTTTTTGAGACGCCATTTTGTTTTTACGAAGTAAAGGCACCTTTTTTTAACTCAACATTTTTTTCCAACAATCTGCTAGCCGAATTACGCTTATGCTAGAACTTTTATGAAACAAAAGTGCTTAATCATGACGAAGATTAGGTGCGAAATTGGGAGAAAGTACAGAATCGCCCACTGCTTGCTGCGTTTTTAGAAATTGCACATATACTGTATCCATGTGCACGTCGACCTATTTGCACTTAACAAAACATCCCAGAATTGCACAAAAATGGCATTGCGCACACTCTTGACTTATCCATGTACACTGCTAAAGTCCTAGCTAGTAACCTTTATCGCCTTACCAAAATGTCGCCAAACTACACGTTACCATATTCCAAAGATTAGCCAATATGGTATTTACATTACGTCAGTATGAAAGTACAAATTATAATGTTTCATTTACATTACATCTTTACAAGCGGTGTAGTATTTTGTATTAATGCCCAATGGAGGAACGATTCTTATGTTTTACATAATTAAGTTGGTATGGTTTATTAAAATTACGGCAAAGCACAATAAGGCTATACACCTAAGGGAAGAGATGCCTTCATGGAGACCTTTCTAATGAAAACTGGCTCATATATACTTTACACATGAGGAAAACCACAAAATCGCCCATGCAGCTAGCCCGTTTACTTGGAATCGAACCCAGATTGGAACTATAAGTGTTCAGCGACTTTACCGCTCGTCCCCTTGTGGGCTATAATCAAGTTATAGTACCTTTTAAATCTTCTCTAAAGGGAGATTCAACGCGTGCCGCTGATAAAAAATTCACTAGCTAACAAATGTACGTAAGCTAGCAAATATAAAAATGCAGCACAAAACAAGCTATCGAATATCACTAATTTTGCCCCAGTTTGATATTTTAGTGTGGAACAATAATAATGAGTATATATATATATTAATAATAATAAGTACAGAAAATCGAATGGTTGTTTTTGATTACGAGTATGGAAAAGCGCATGAGTAGTATCTGCCTAAGGAGAGGGATGCCTCCGGAAAACTGACTCATATACACGTTACACATAGGAAAAAACCACGAAAACGCCCAAGCGGCTTGCCGTTCAGCAGGATTGGAATCGCGAACCGAATTGTCAATATTCAGCGACTTTACAGCTTGGCGGGCCCAAAAAATCGCATGAAAATTACCAGTGTTCTTGATCTAGTAGGTTAAATGTTAATTTTTCAAGAGTGAGTTCTAAATATTTACAGTCTCATAATGGCAGATGTTACAACAACAAATTTAGCAATTATGATTTATAAAGAAATTTAAAGCACGATAATAAGTATAATTGCCAGTTTAGGTAAAAAAAAAATAACTACTAATTTAAAATACAATATACGCATTGCTGTGTGATTGCGTAAGTATTATATTTCAGAACAATGTATGTGAAAATATGAAAAAAGCCTTCGGTTGATATCTGATGAGGAACTATTTATATAATGATACAAATGTTCAAATTACTTTTAACAATACAACATAAATTGAAGGGGGAAAACCTTAGAAGTACTGAAATTAAAATTTCATTAGGAAATTCAAAATCAGTTTCAGATAGCAATGCCAAAATAAGTTTATATTTTGGATTCTGAGAGAATTTAATATTCCATAGATTTTTCTCAAAACAGAGCAGATACTCGAAATAAGTTATTGGAGTATGTGTCTAGAAAAAGGAATGCCTTTGTGGAGGATTTTATAAGGGTTTAGTTTGGATTACGGCAAAGCACTCGAGGGCTATCTGCCTAAGGGAAGGAATGCCTTCGTGGAGGATTTTCGTATACACTTTACACATGGGGAAACCACGAAAACGTCCATGCAACAGCCTGTTCGAAGGATCTGAACTTCGGACCGAACTACCAATGTTCAGGGACTTTACCGCTCGGCCGCTGGTGAGCGATTTTCTAAGAGAAGCTGGTTCTTATTCCTGTTATACAGGGGGGAAGTACGAAAACCAACCATGCAAGCAGTCCGTTTGCCCGCGTCTTTAGCGGTCTTAACCACTCGGTCACTAGTTAGGCTATGATCGAAATAAAATATAATTTTTGCTTTCATTCATATAAATGTAAAAAAGCGTTTCTTATATACATGAATTCATTTTATTTCACATCTAAAATAATTAATCTAATAAATACTCGATATGTAATTGAAAAGAGAATCTTAACAACTTGAATTAAACTATTGGGATAACTTGGCATCCGATAAGAAATTAATAGTTCTTTTCAGACTGATACTGGCAACCATAAATACTTTCAACACAGATAAATCTGTCGATCCCAGAAAGAATGTATTTGCCAGAAACTTGATTGCCAAGTTCATGCATCTTTCCTTGAAACCCATATAGGCATCGGTATGCGTGTCATCAACATTGGATTATTTGTTTAAAACAAAGCACATGAGAGCTAGCTGCCTTCGTAAAGGACTCTTAAGCGAAACTGGCTTCTATTCACATTACGTACAGGGAAAATTACAAAATGTCCATTCGCAGGAATCCAAACAAAGATCGGCCTAGGCTGTTCCCCGAGATCGAAGACAGGGTCGAACAATCAATATTCAGAAATCCTAACCACTTCGGTTATTATCAAGAAGATAAAAAAATTAACCTTTCAATTTGTAATGAAACAGTAATTAGAGGGATTTCTAGCATATGTTGTTAAAATGTAATTGCACTTAGATTCATAAAGGAATATTTTATAAATTTTTAATCAGTTTGGGAATTCCAATATATAGTTTTTTTTTTTTTTTTTTTTTTTTTTTTTTCCCGTTCAACTGTGATGTTTTCAATGATATTCAACCCATATAATTGCTCTTTATATCTTTGTAGAAGCCATAGAGTATACTACGTCATAGGATTTACATGAACCCAGAGCTTAAATAGATAATATGATATACTAATTAGCATAATGCAATAATACACAACGGTTTATTTTATTGTGGTGAAACCTCGAGGGCTAACTCTCTACGCGGAGGGACGCCTTCGTAAAGGACTTTCTAAGAGAATCTCGCTCGTATACACATTACCCATGAGAAAAACAACGAAAACACCCATGCAGCTAGCCCGTTCGCGGGATTTGAACCTCGGGTCGAACTACCAGCGTTAAGAGACTTTACCACCCGACCGCTGGTGGGTACATATTACTGTAGGAGAATGATTATAATCCTCTTTCACACCTCTAACAATCGCATGATTTAAATTTATATTATTTCAATAAGAAAACCTAACTGATATAGTTGTTGTAACTACAGGAATCGGAAATGGAAAATATACTGCAAATAAACAACCATAATTTACTAGAAACATTATCTAATAACCTAATTTGAAAAAATGTTCATTGCATGATATAAAATTGATGTAATTCAGTACAGCAAAACTCTATTTTGATGTGATGTATGTTCTTCAAATACAGTTACAATCTAATGATAAAAAACTACCTTAAGGTAAACATGTAATTATAACAAGTCTAATCAACCCTATTTTTTCTATCTCTCTCTCAGACACATACACACACTTCCGCTTCGACAGATAAGCTAAAATCTAACAGGATATTTATGTTTATCTATTTTGAGTTACCTTCATTTCGGACTTAACAGTACATAATCAAAATCTGCTCCCTTACACGTGTTATTTTTCACAAGGCAACATAAAAATTACCTGGTTTCTACTGGAACTAAATGCAAATACGGCAAGAATTTTTTAATGTATGTTGATATCATGGGTAGGTAATTTGTTAATTACAAATTTGCCTACGTATGATGATTGTAATTACTCATTAATACCTTGGATACTTGTGTGGTTTATACAGGCATTCTACTGCATAAGTCAGTACTTTCCTGCTCTATCAGTTTTGTCCACAATGGGCCTTGTGAGGAAAATTATTCCTTAGTAAAACGCTCGAAACGCGAACGTGTATGCGAGAAATTAATACCTTACAATGTAGCAAATTAATTTTATTACATGAATGTGTACATATTATTGAACGTGTATGCGAGAAATTAATACTTTACTATGTAACAATATATGTGAAAATATGAAAAAAGCCTTCGGTTGATATCTGCTGAGGAATTATTTGTATATACAAAGTTACTTATACAATTACTCAACATAATTAAACAAGCTAAACACTTAAATACATATACATTAAATACATATACAGTCGATAAAATTTCTGAAATTAACTGGCGAAAGTATTGTTTTCATTTCAAAACTATATTTATTTTATAATAAAATTAAATATTTTATTTTATAATAAATTAATTATATAACGTTACAACATTAAAACTAATTACTCCTAGTAACTTTTTAAAACTCATGATAAATTGATGAACCTGCATTCCATAAATCACCTTAACGACTGTTTTATCGTTATGCATGCAAAGCTCTTTATAGGTTACGTTGTACAATGATACATATGGCATCCAGTCATAGTCTTATAAAGTTAAATACTATATAGCAATAGTTATAAACATGTGTAGTCATAGATACAAATGCATAATGAAAAAATAAAAGATTATCACATTGAAACAAATAATAAATTATGTTCTAACAGATTTTTAAAAATGAGAACTTCAAACAAACATTATCATTACAGAATAAACTAGCATTTTCTGTATTGCACTTAATATATTCAACTTTAAACAAATGAGAGAGGGGAAAAAAATCGGTCTTACTCGGAGTAATTCTTAAAGCTTGTTGTTCAAGTACTCGCAGTCCATTCAAAACTGGCTCTGTGTATTCGTCCATATCGGACGCCAAGAATCTTTCAAGAAGTAACAAGCATAATACCGCGATAGACGCCATGTTAAAACCCATCCTATATGCCGCAACACATACTGCATTTCGCGAAGAAAACCAAACTAAAATAAAACACACATTTTTAATTCAACTTGGGGTTACTTTACTACTGCTGCCATTTAAACCTTTAAAAATGTACAAACACGCGCTGTCATACAAGCAATGCTTACCGATGCACATATTATGGCTATACTTCAAAAAAGAAGAAAATATATATTCTTTTATTTTCAACTAAGTTCTTCCGCTTTAAATTCTCATTGGGTTTTCAACCTAACGTAAAATTTCACAAGCAGGAAGAATTTTGAATTTTAAAGTTGTCCCAAATAGCCTGATTGTTGAGAAAAGTCTCCTATGTCTGGATATCGAAAGGAAAACAGTAACGTACTAAAACTTTATTTAACTAATAACATAATTTCGCTATTATTTACGACTAGCTTCCATTTATCTATCACATTTTAATGCTACTTTCATAAAACTATGATTTCGTGAGACACGTTTTCTGTTTCTGGAAACAGCAATTTTTCCAAGTTAAACAATTTTGTAACTATTGGCATTAATGACAACTATTTGAATATTGGAAGCATATTGATAACATCTACAGGATTAATGAAAACTTTCCTAATTCACTGGTTTAATTCTAAAGTCTTAAAGCTTCGAAAACTTTATATAAGCTCACTTCGCCATCGCTGCATATTTCAACATTTCCAGGCACCTGAACTGCTCATGACTTGACAAATCTACAGTCAGATAGATATTGACGTATAATTAAAATTTTATATGAGTATTTAAATTTATGTTGTGAATATTACTAAGGTTTAGTACATAGTTATATATTTAATTATTATATTTTATAAATTTATATTTTTCAGTTTTATCACCGATATCAATATTAGCTTTAACATGAGTAGTGATTTATATAATTTGATTCTCCTAAATACTATATTCTTTTTTAATCTGTCAAAGAAGATGCAATGTTTTAACTTAAATATATAAAATCCTGTCCTTACTAAATAAAAATCTGATAGAAGAGAAGAACGGAAGAATCTAGAACCAGCTCCTGACAAGTATTGACACTGCGCAGAACTTTATCGCACTTTTCGTAACTGCATACAGAAATATCTCGTAGTGTTGCCATTTCATCAAATATAAGAGCATTACTTTATTTTTCAGATTTAATCAATCGTTTACTAAATAAGAAACTCAGCTGCTTAAAAGCAATGTATTTCCACTGCACGAAACGAAAAACGCCTTCTACGTGCCCTTCTACATAGTAGATTCTCATACTGTTGTCATTTGACAAACCATAATTTTTTTTTTACCTCTCATAATTCTATCGCTGATTAATGGACTTAAACGAAAAGCTACATCTGAAAATAATATGCACTTTATAACATTAAAAAAAATGAAGAATGGCAACTGCTTTTACATATTGTTACGAAATGCCCAGGTGCGGTTGGATAGCCTTCCCACGAAGCAGGGTTAGGGCTGCCAGAAAGTGTTAGGAAAAGGTAGGGTTGCCAGATTTGGCTCGAAATTGCTTGTTTGGAAATATGTGATAGACGGAGTGAAAACTTTCTAGAACGCATTCTTAACGGTTTTCTTGAAAATATTCTCGAAGGTAGGTAAAAGCTATATATACCCTGCCTGTCCTGGGAGTAGTGAGTTCAGAGATTAGCTTGAGAGCCGTCGATCGAATCGGGAGCTGTACTTTAGTGCTTTGCCGTGAAGCTGTCTTCACCGTTATAGCCTGAAGGCTGATTGTTTCAGCGTGTTTGTCGTCGTTTTCCAACGAGTGTAAATGTGTCTTTGAAACTACCCTATGTAGTAGTGCTTACTAGCGATTAAATTATTTTTTAATTCTTCATCGAGTGTCGTCATCAATTACTTCGAATCCATGAACCCGTAGAACGCAACAATATTGTTCGAGAACAATCTGCGCGACGTGTTACTTAAAATGTGACAAGGGGATGTAGAAAGAGAAAACAAGAACACAACGCTATTAGCATTTTAAAAATCATTTCAAAATATAGTTTTTATTAGTTATAAATTCCTTTTAGTATATAAATTTTAAATATAAAATTTATAAGAATGGACGTGTTGACACTGGAAGAGAAGCATGTACACAGTTTTAGATTGGTATAGAATTTTAATAAAACTCGAACTTCAAAATTTACTTAGTTTTTGCCGTTTTTTCCTTGCTTCATGCTCCCCGTTTCTCATAAAAATTCTCCCTTTAGGCAGATAGCCCTCATATGCTTTGCTATAAACTGATGGCATAATCTTCTTTATTTTATTAGGAGCCACCAATGTCTGAGTGGTAAAATTGCTGAAATTGGTAGGACTTAGATTCAAATCTCCGAGAACAGGTTAGCTGTAACATCGGTTTTCGCGACTTTTCTCATGTGTAATAGGAAAACTGGCTTATTCGCCTCAAAACGACCTTCACGAAAGCATCCCTATCCTTAAGCAGAGATATCCTTGGAGTGCTTTATCCATGATACTTTAAACCTAATTTACCAAACTCTACGCTTATCTAAGATTGGTTTTTTTGCCCAACGTGTTTCGTCTTAAAATTTATGAAACTTGAGTGATAACGCACTTTTTCCTACACCGATGATATCAAATTCGGAATTCTTTTGAAGCTTCACATGAGGATTAGCTTTATCATATTGGAAGGTTCTTCATTTCTGTTCGCAAGTGATGGCGGTTTCGTTTGTGGTATTTACTTCAATCTCGCCAGAAACTCGTAGCATAAACTTTCATTTATGGTTTCTCCTGTTTGTATCATTTCATAACAAATTGGTATTTTGGTACTTGTCTTCTACAGTGGCCTCGGCGAGAAAGTTAATTTAGCGCATTTCGACATTATCGATAAACGAACGACTACCAATTTGCTCATGTACGAGAAACAAACGTAATTGGACACTGTCAGTGTAGTGGTTTTATTTATTGCTCATTACGCTCATTAAATGCTCATTACGCTTATAATTTTCGAAAGAAATCATAAATTTTAAAGAATTTAATTTATTACAATTACAATTTTGTTAGCAGTTTATTAAGAAAATAACATACATACTGGAAAAGTCATTTTTACAAACTCTTTCTGATGGCCACAGTTCAGCAATTGTTTCTAATTATGCCTCAAACACATCGCAGAGGAGTAAGCGCCTCAACATGAAAACTTTGCTAAATATAATTCCAAATGATGGCAAGCCGTACCTCTGTGCGTTGGTGTCCGCCGATAACATCGCGGCAAAAACATCGCGGACGAAAACGTCGCGGAGAAAACAACGCAATGCGAAAACATCGTGCTACAAAACATCGCAAAGAGAAAACATCGCAGTTCTAAAACATCGCGGTAAAAATATCGTCGTCGAAAATAAAACAGTTCAAAAACTTCGCAGTTTAAAAACATCGTCGTCGAAAATATCGTGGTAAAAAATAAAGTATCTACAAATCATCGTATGACGATAACATCGCAGATATGCTTTTTTCAAGTTTTAATAATTGTAAATGGATATTCCCATAATGATTTGTGAGCGCAAGATGTAAAGAAGGATAATTTTTACTTTCACATTTTTTATTAACTAATAAATGTTTGCTGAAAAAGTAAGAAGGAAACTTAAGCATAGAAAACTAAATGCACCTTATAGATTATACTTTTCATGAAAAATTACCAGTGAAAACTTTACAAAAAATGATTTATTAATGGCCTTTGTTAGTTAACTATGTCGGTTTAAAATTCTATTAAGTGCCATAAGTTGCATTAATTTTCTATGCTTAAGTTTCTTTTTTATTTTCTCAGCAAAAATTTATTTATTAATAAAAAACATGAAAGTAAAAATTATCCTTCTTTCCATCTTGTGCTCACAAATCATTACGGGAATATCCATGTATAGTTATTAAAGCCTGAAAAAAGCATGTTTGCGATGTTATCGTCATGCGATAATTTGTAGATACTTTATTTTTTACCACGATATTTTCGACGACGATGTTTTTAAACTGCGAAGTTTTTGAACCGCTTTATTTTCGACGACAACGTTTTGTACCACGATGTTTTAGAACTGCGATGTTTTCTCTTTGTGATGTTTTCTCCCACAATGTTTTGTAGCACGACGTTTTCGCCTTGCGTTGTTTTCTCCGCGACATTTTCGTCTGCGATGTTTTTGCCTGTAACCCTGTGCGTTTTGTTTCCCAATTTCGTTGATCCTCGCAGTGACGTAAGAAAGGATATTTTGTGATCCACTAAACCAATTCTCAACCCGAAGATTTTTCTTCTCTTTTACACTTCTGACACTGCATTGCAGAATGGTTTCTTTCCCAGCATATAATTGCATGTTATGGCCATTTTCATAAATCTTTCTTATTGGTAAAATACTTTTCTCATGTAAAATGCTATACCTTTCTTTTCACCTGGCGGTAGACTGAAAATAGTAAACATGATAAATATTTGCAATCAAAAACTGCTATAATTGAATGATATAAATTATTAAAAATCTCTTTTAAACAGTGTATGTTTTATTTCGTAAACTATGTTCTACAGTTTAAAATATAAATTACAGATGCAAGAAAATGGCAACAGCTCTCAAAACTACTAAGTTCTTAAGCTGCTTCTACGATTAATGCTGCGGTAGCATGATAAAATATAAAATAAAAATGGAAAAACAAAGGTATCGTCATTTCTAACATGAATACCTACTAATGCACTTAGTTTATTCAGTTGTTATTAAATTCGTTGATTTAAAGTAGACAATTATAATAAAAGAAATGGTGTCATATATTTCAAACATTTAAGGTTAAGTTAGGTTGGGTTGGGTTATTTGATTGTGTCAAAGTACATACATTTAAGGTTAAGTTAGGTTGGGTTGGGTTATTTGATTGTGTCAAAGTACATACATGAAGACTATCTGAAAGGAATGCATTTGTCGATGACTTTCTAAGGGATATTTTCTCTGTTCACGTTACGCATCGGAAAAATCTCGATAACCAATCATGCAGCCAGCTAACCTGTTCGCCTGAATTGAACCGGGTCGAACTTTCAGTATTCAGCGATCTTAATTACTTGGACACTGCTTGAGTAT